TATTAATGAAACATGGGGAGAAGTCAGATCTGACCACTCGGCTTTATGTACCTGATCCAAATATTATACTTCACACTGTGCAGATTTGTTTTGGGTTTTAATGAATGAGAATCATATCCCAGAAAAATCATACATTTTCCTTTAGAGAATTCTGGTGGTTACATTAGCACAAGTGCCATGGATTGCAATTCAGCTCATGTTACTTGCACAAAAGATTTTATGTGGATTACATGGACAATAAAAGATGCAGGACAGCACTTTTTAAATTTTTTTTAAAAAGAGATGATCTAATACTTATAACACGTTCTAGCTTCCCTAACCCCTTCTGAACAATGATTTTGCTTTTCAAATAAATTTTGCACCTGCCTTGTTTATTTGAAAACCCACCTCTAAAATATCTTGAATGTTATTTAAATGTTCTCCCTCCTCCACAGCTATGCCAAGTAATTAGGATTAGGATATTTGTTTTTTAATTGGTAAAGTAACTTGTATGCTTTGTTCTCTGAATGCTTAGAGTTGCATTTAGAGTTGCTTTCACAATCCACTCTGAACCTAGAGGGTTGTGGGGTTGGGGTTTTTTTTGTTTTTTTGTTTTTTCTTTTAAGTGTAAGGTGATAAAGATGTTGGCCATTTCATTACAAGTAAACAGAGTGAAATAGAAATTCCAGCTGTCTGTGTACTTAACTTCATTATTTAGCACTAAGGGCATATGTTTAAGTTAGTAGATAGCCCCAAGATAGTGAGGAAGAATGACTAGTGAAGACAATGTAGCCTATCAGTGATACTCCTAAATCATGGATGAATCTGCACTAATATAATTTAATCTCACTCTCCTGAGGAAGCTGTTGCAGTAGGAGAGCCCATGGACCACAACAGAATGATAGGGCTGGTTATTGCTCCTGCTTATCCGAGCAGACAATACCTACCTTGGAGAAATGTAGAGGCAGTGCTGCCTCTGGAGATGTGCTTTCCACCCACCCTTTCTGGGGCCACTCGGTGAGTGTCTTGCAGGATCATCCTGCCAAGGGCTCTTGGGCATGGAAGGAAATAGGGAACCAGTTATTTTCTGCAACATAATCCCCTGCAAACCTAGAAGATTTCTAGATGGAACTCCCAGGGTTAATGTTTTAGCTCCTACCGGGGCTCCCCTCAGCAGTCTCTGAGCACCCAGAGGGAGATTCACAGGATGAATTCTGAGCAGCATGCCATAGTGGGGCAGCTGTCCATGTAGGATGGTGCTTGGGGCCTTCCCTTCACTACAGATCTTGCAGCCCTCCAGGAAAGCCCTCTTGAGGGGACTTTTTCAGATCGCCGAACAACGTTCACCATATGGTGGTTTGCCAGGTCTCTAACTTTGAACTTGAACCATGAACCTAGAGATGAAAGGCTCCTACATCCCATTACCGACCCCATCAGGCATCCACTTCCACTTTATCCAGTTCAGTTTGAAATGACTCAAGCAATAGATTCATAGATTCCAAGGCCAGAAGGCTCACTAGTCTGACTTCCTGTATAACGTAAGTCCTAGAACTTCCCCAAAATAATTCCTAGAGCACAGCATTTAGAAAACTTCCATCCTTGGTAGGAGTTGCAGCTCCTCCCTTGAGAGGTGGTTCCACAGTCTCACTGATGATGCTGTAATGACATTTTCTTCAATAGCCTAAACTTTCCTTTGCTCAGTATCATCTTGGCCTTTCAATGGATAATCAGAATGATTGATTACTTTTCTCAGTCACTTCAAAGTCTTCAGTGGCTGCAACTGCCTGCAACAAGAGCACTCTGCAGTGAACTTTTAGATCACATTTTAGTTTGTGAAATTCATTCTTCTAGGTGGCTGTATTTTCCGCAAGCGGTGTACTCCGTGTGCTGTACCTCATCTGCTTTTCCAGGATCCTCATTTTTAAGCTATGCCTTGGACTTTGCCCTCTGGAGGGGGCAAGTTGCATGGCCTTGCTTGTCTTTAAAACCTCTTGCAATTTTTAGAACTGTGGTGTTGCTATTCAAAGAGGCCTGCAACATGTTAGCTATTGGTTAAGTTCTTGAGGATGGAATTTGGGTGAAGGTTTATTGAGTGAAGTGAACTGTGTTTTTCCTGCTGTGCAACGTTTGGACGTTTTATTGACATACCAGTACAGAAAGGTTGGTGAAGCTATTCCAAAGTGTTCTAGAAGTAGAGGGGAAAATCCCAGGCAAAAGTAGATACTCAGTGTTTTTACAGGATAAAGCTGATAAGCCAGGGACACATCTGGTCGCTCTGTTGCCAGGCCACAAACCTCTGACCCCAAGATGTAGGGTTTTTTCCACAGTAAAAACAATTTAGTCCTTGAAATAGCACGTCATGTTCCAGAACAGTGGGTTTTTAAGTGAAAGATGATGGCTTCCCCCATCCAGCAGCACCAGTGTAGCTTTGGTGAAATCATTTTAGCTAGAAGTGGATGTAACTTCAGAAATCACTTTTCCAGAAATGATTCCTCCACAGTTTGATGACACTTTTGTAACCATGTGTCAAGGTTCCTTCCCCACTCTGAACTCTAGGGTACAGATGTGGGGACCTGCATGAAAAACCCCCTAAGCTTATTTTTACCAGCTTCGGTTAAAACTTCCCCAAGGTACAAACTATTTTACCTTTTGCCCTTGGACTTTTTGCTGCCACCACCAAGTGTCTAACAAATATATAACGGGGAAAGAGCCCGTCTGGAAACGTCTTTCCCCCCAAAATCCTCCCAAGCCCTACACCCCCTTTCCTGGGGAAGGCTTGATAAAAATCCTCACCAATTTGCATAGGTGAACACAGACCCAAACCCTTGGATCTTAAGAACAATGGAAAAGCAATCAGGTTCCTAAAAGAAGAATTTTAATTGAAGAAAAAGTACAAGAATCACCTCTGTAAAATCAGGATGGTAAATACCTTACAGGGTAATCAGATTCAAAACATAGAGAATCCCTCTAGGCAAAACCTTAAGTTACAAAAAGACACAAAAACAGGAATATACATTCCATTCAGCACAGCTTATTTTCTCAGCCATTTAAACAAAACAGAATCTAACGCATGTCTAGCTAGATTAGTTACTAAGTTCTAAGACTCCTTTCCTGTTCTGTTCCTGGCAAAAGCATCACACAGACAGAGAGAACCTTTGTTTCTCCCCCTCTCCAGCTTTGAAAGTATCTTGTCTCCTCATTGGTCATTTTGGTCAGGTGACAGCGAGATTATCCTAGCTTCTTAACCCTTTAGAGGTGAAAGGGTTTTTCCTCTGGCCAGGAGGGATTTTAAAAGTGTTTACCCTTCCCTTTATATTTATGACACCATGAGTGAAGCATGACTTGTACCGTACATCTTCCACTTTTCCAGGATCCTGGAAGGCTGTAGGCTATCCCTTGGAGTTTGCCATCTACACGACAATATTCTTATATATAATTAAGCTGTGGAACTCTCTGCTGCAAGATTGGTTTGGATTGGATTAGACACGGAGACAGGTAACAGAACATCCGGAGTTACAATAGAGAGGATAAAACATGTATACAGGATGTAATCCTCATGCTCAGGCTAAAAGCCAGCCACTAATTGACAAGTTTAAGAAGAAACTTTCATTATAGGCAGGTTATGCCATTATGTCCCTTATGAAGATGGTTGCAGTTCCCTGATTTGGTACTGGCTGCTGAGACAGGATACTGGACTACATGGAGCTCTAGTCTGATGATTCCGGTTTCTAATTACAATTATGTCATGGTACCAGATTAAAATCTGGTTGTTCTGTAATCTGACTACAAAACAGGCTTCCAATTTATAGTGTAGACTTGCCCTAAACCATGTTTCAGAACCAGTCTGAAACCTTAATTTCTGGTTGGTCAGAATAATGCTTTAGCTTATGTGTTAAATAAGTTTAAGGTCCACTTTGTACAGAGAATTGGAAGCACAGCTGTAACCAGGTGGGGCGACAGCCTGGTTGTGATTAAGTTTCCTGATGTGGAGGAGGTTGTAGTGTAGACAAAGCCCTAGCACTTGTGGATCCCAATCCAGAGCTGCCTGCATAGTATTAGTAACATGTTTGGGTTATTTTAGATAGTTTGTAGATAACTGCAAGATTTTTAACAGGGAAACTCATTTCTATCAAGCGCTCTATAAAATGTATCTCTAGTGCCTTGTGTGTATATATTCTTTTTAACAATTTAAACAAATAAAACAGCTTAGACAAGTTATTTCATCTATAAGCCAAAAGCAATACTACCCTGTGTGGTCCTGATCCTTTTCCCACTGAATCCAGTGGGAATTTTGCTGTTGGTTTCAGTGGAAACAGTATCAGGCCTTGAAATCTGTGCAGAAAGTTTCCTTCTGTGAGTGAATGTCCTGGAGCACAAACATTGTAATAGCTGCTTTTTCTTACATCCAGGAGGTCTGGGTTACTATGTACTGGTGCTGTCTTGTCCATGCTGAAGGAATCAGCAGCAGAATGGAAGTGACTGAGGCAGGTGGGAAGGTATGATCCCTTTTTTTAATCTCTGCTCCAAATACTGGGTCCCGTGAAAGAGCACGCATCCAGCCCCCACTGCTTTCCAGTGGTTCCTCTGAAGTGCTGGGGAGCATGGGTATACGTAGAGGCCGTCTTGAAGAATAACTTGCAGAGCTTTTTTAAAGTGGTTTGAGGAAGAGAAGCTGTGACTTCCTCTTTTTTTTTTTTTCTTTTTTCCTTTTTAGTAAAGGAGACAAACGTGACAGGGATTTTCCAGGTACATTCAGTGATCACTTTACTGACTTCTGTATATTGTAGACTGTCCTAGTTAGCTAAAGTTCTGTAAAAGCTGATCTGAAGAATGGTATGTTCCTCTAATAAAATCTAGGCCTCACAGCCAGGGGATAGAGCTTTTCAGTTTAGCTTGTGATGGGACAGTTGCCGTATCTGTGCACACCAAGTCGTTTGTTAAATGGTGAGTTAACAAAGGGAGCTGCAGTCCCCTTCCCTTTGATCTCCAGCTGCAAACATAACATTATAGATGTCAGGAAAGCGGTTATTACCGTTCACTTTTATTTTGATGTAAAGATTGCCTAATACAGAGGAGCCACATAATGTAATTGTAATAGTATTTAAACTTCAAATTAAAAATAAAAGGCTGATAATTTTATAATCATTTCTAAACATACGTGCTCAGTTTTCCTTTTTAAATGTCACACTATAATTACATCCAGATTTAGTGGTACTCAGTTGGCACTTTCTTTAAGCCTGACTGAAGCTTTAGCAAAAAGTAAATATACCTAATGGGAGGGGCCTTGAGACACTAGCCCTTGTGGATTTACAGCATGTTTTTACATTTCCTTAAAACCTATTTGTAATCTCTGTATTTCTCTGTGGACAGGAAGCTCATAGCTATCTTGTTCCAGGGTTTTTAGAATAGCCTTTGTTCGGATGAAGTAGTAGGGTAGCATTGGTCTACAGAAGTTTCTTTTGGCAAAGGCCCTATGTGTCAGTTTTATTTTGCGTTCTAATTTCTACTGTGACCATATGGACACTCATTTGACAGGAGTCTGTGACCCTCAAAACAGCTCAGTGAGTCATGGAAAGAGTGAATTCACCCGTATAGAGTTTAATCTGTCCTTTTCTGATACATTTAATTTCCACTTGACAGGTTCTACTCAGTTACATGGTATCTGACCTGGCTTTGGAAACCTAGCAACAGGCAGGAACGCTGCATAATGTAAAGAGTCATCCCTGCAGATAAAGGATGAACATAAATATTAATGAGGCTGTTACTCATTTACACTTGTGGATATTAAAGCTGTTGTCTAACACGTGGTTCATCTCTCAGGAATAATTGCCTCTCAGTGGAAATGCAAACAGCAACATTCACTGTGTGCTCAGTAAAAGCTGCTCTTTCTAATACAACCCAGTTTCCTTGGGGGAACAACATATTTTTATGGGTCCAGTCTTCCATTTGTTAAGCATTTACTAATCTTAAATTAGGAATCATTTTATAATCCGATGAACAAAATAATTATTTTAAGCAGAGATGCTCCAGTTTGCAGAGTTCTGAAATTTCCTAGACTTGGGGTGGTGGTGGTGGTGCTAGGGGGTTAGATCTGTGATTTTGGTTAAGAATTTGATTACCTCCTTGAAGCAAAGGCATAAGGATGTTATTGTTTAAGGTTTTACTGGCAGGTGAAACTTAGTCCAAAGTTTAGGCCTATTAACAATAAGCTTTTACAAAAGCTAAGACAAATACAAAAAATTGTGGCTTTTTCCAATAGAAATTTTCTTTAAAATAAAGAAATTGCCCTGCAATGTTGGCATCCCAGTACAAGCATTAGAGCCAGCAAGTGAAACTGACTAGACATAAAAGAGGAACTGAATAATCTATTTCCATTGCCTAAGATGAGAGAAATTAAAACAAAACAAAAATACAAAGTCTAAATCATGAAAAGTAATTAGAATGTACACAATTCTTTCAATTTTAGTTAGAAAGAAATATGTTACATATATGACTTAATCTGCTGGTATCCCTCTAATTCAAGCTATTGCCATTATTCCATGTTGCCCGTTGCAGTCGGTGTGGAGAACATCCATCATCTGTGCTGTGATGTTTGTACTCAATTTCTGCCAAAGATCAGGTTTACACCAGTCCAGGATTTTGGTTTGGGGAATTCTCTAGTGAAGAAGGAACTCTTGCTGTTCTTATGCAGCTGTGCTGGGCTCTGATATATGGCTGTGACATCAGAGATCTGTGAAAGGACCAAGGAAAAACTAGAACACGGTTTTTATTCTCTCTCAGAAATATTCCTGGTTGAGAGATCTATTCTGTTCATTAGATTTTTGTATCAGTTCACACAATGTGTTCCACACAATGTAATGGTGTTTAGTCGATTCCACAAAAAGAGCAGAATCATTCCCTAGCAATTTTCGTCAGCCCTCACCAGATGTGACCACCCGCTAAAGATGAAAGCAGTTAGGTTTCCATTTACATTCTTTGGTCCCTCTACTGTGATTGACAACAAAATGGCCACTCAGCACCAATTTTTATGTTGGTGAATTTTGTGACATCTCAAAGCTTGATTGAGCCTGTCAGCTCATTTCAGATGGGAGATGTGACAGCCAGTGCATTATCTCTGGTCACTATCACTAGTTGTTAAAGATTCAAACCTGCAATGTAAGGCTCTGTATCTCCATTGCTAATCTGGAACCACCCAGTTCTTCACAGAACAACTTTCACAAACTGCAGCATGTAAATAAAAGAAGTGTTCTGAGGAGCTAGAGTACTTCTGTGACTACCCTCTTATCCATCCTCCCACTGTTCAGAATCTGCTTAAATCAAACTGTGAACTGAACCTTAAAATAAATGTCAGACAGGAAGAAATAGGGCCATCTTGCATGGGATTCACAGGAAAACACGTTCTTTTTAAAAATCTTGTGCTCGCCTTTAACTACGTGCAAATGGTTGTTAATCACAACACAGGAAAACTAGCTAAGGAACACACACCTCCAGGTTCTACAATCATACCTAGCCACTAGAGCTTCATTCTTGTAGTTACCAGGGTTCATCAAAATCTCTTGATGAGTGTCTAGCTCGTATCTGTTTGTTGTTTCTTCTATCTAAGGCTTTGTCTACACTGGCAAATGAACGACACAACTTCTGTTGTTCACAGGTGTTAAAAAAAACACACACACATCCCCCTGAAAGACACAAGTTTTGTCGAAGAAAAGCGCTGGTGTGAACAGCACTTTGTCGGCAGGAGCGCTCTCCTGCCGACAGAGCGACCGCTCCTCGTTGGGGATGGATGTTTTTTCTTGGCGAGAGAGCTCTCTCCTGCCGACAAACGGTGGCTACACTGTGCGCCTTTTAGCACCACGGCTGTAGGGGCTGGGCTGTGTTGCTAAGAACTGCGTAGCGTAAACCTCCCTTTCCTCACAGTCTTCAGCAAAGGAAAGTCTGCCAACCACTTTAGCAACACAGAGATGGGGCTCAAAGAAGCCTTTGAATACTGAAGCAAAGCTTGTAAAGTGGCATTAATTCACACCTCCGATAGAATCGAAACATAGGCCCCCTAGGCCAGTACGATTCCTGCTGTTCTTTCCGTGGGTCTGCCACACTCTGTATTTAACAAACAGTAAGTCCCGTACTAGCTGCCGTGCTCTACTCCCTAATCACCCAAAGGTTAGATTGTGTGCTCTGTTTGCAGTGATGTTTTCAAATGATGTGGAAATTGCAGGTAGTTCAGAATACAGTGACCTGCTTATGAGCTGGACTTTCATGAAAAGAGCACAGGAGACCAGTGCTTCATGATCTGCCCAGGTGAAGTGTGTGGTGTTGTTTATGAGGTTTAAAGGCTTCAGTCCCAGCCACTTGAGAGACTACCTCTTTCTCTTCGTATGTTGCCGGGGCAGTTGTGGTCATCTGAGGTGCTGACTGGTCCCTCCTGATGTAAACCAAAGGTGGCGAGCGGCAGTGTGTTACTGGCTTTGGAGCGCTCTTTCTCCCTTGATTCATGACATGCCCAAACTTGGGACCTTCAGGGCATGCTGCAAAACTTAAAGTAAGCTTTTCCGGGGGAATTGAGTGCTTTGGGGATGATGAACGTGGGAGATGGGCGTGGGAGATGTTTATTGGAGCTGAGCAGCAGGAATATTAATATCCTGTATTCTATTCGAACGGGAGCAGTTTGCAGGGGAGGATGTTGTAGTCTTATTTTGACTTGTTGAGTAGATTTTTCACTGAATATTTTTACAGCAGGCACAGTGCTGGGTAGGTGCATTGTAACAATAAATAAGTAGGCTAACTTAAAATAATGCCATTAAACCAGGAGATGACTCATTTATAACTATAATCATTAATGAATGGCCATGCAGGAATATCACAAATCAAGTGTTCTCTTACCTGCTGCTGTGAGCAAACATCTTCATAAAGCTAGTGAGATAATTTTCCCTAGTGTGATATGATTTATATTTACAGTTCTCATACTAAAGATGCTGCTAATTAAATATAAACAGGTTTCCCAAAAAAGCAAAATAACCTATCCTGAAAAAAAAATACACATTTGCCAATATGCTCATTGTGTTCTGTTCTAGGCAAATCTATCTGTTGCTTTCAGTAGCCCAAGTCCTGTCAGGATCTTCTTCTCTTCATCCAGAAAATCTACGTAATTTATATTCATCTGCTCCTCCATTTGTTCTCTTGATTTCTGTCCACCAGCCACTCTCTGAGGAAAAAGTAACCAATTAATAGCTGCTATTAGCTTTGAAACATTAATACGATTCCATTGGTTTTCAGTCAGTGATTGTCAATGCTGACTCTTTCACCTCCATCTTTTTAGCTATATAATTAGGAGTGGAGCATCACTGAGAACCACATGCACAGATCTGCCATTTCATCAGCTAGGTAACATCGTTTATTAGTCAGGTCAACACAGAGCTATTGGATAGATTTAATTCTCCAAGCCCTTGCAATAGTACCTCCTATGGACAAGCCTCATCGTCTATTCAAGGCTCACTTCCTTTCACTTACCACATAGGACTCCGGATATATAATGCTCTGTATAAAGCTAATGTTAAAATTATATAATACACAGGCTGAGAAAAGAGTGCATGTACATCTGGGTATAGTGCTTAGATTATCCACAAATACCATGTTTGTTTTTAAAAGTTATATGATACATATAGTACATGATCAGCAATAACCCAAATTTAGGAGAATAAATTTAAGAATGCAGTTTAGATTTTAGCATCCAAGTATTCACATACATCACTCATGAAAAGTTGTACAGAGAGTTGGTTGTGGAAAGCAAAATCTATCAATGAGTGAAGGTTGTCCCTCAGTAATTGAGAATTAGGGTAGGTTGTCCATTTAGAAAATACAATCTATCAGGGAAGTATTTCAGTTACTTTCCTTACTGCACTTCTCATTGCACTACACTTCCCTCTCTCCTCAAGAGGGAATCATTGCATCTGGCATATCGCATAGTCCTCTACTACTGTCAATGGTAATAACAGTGTTGTATGTAACACACTCCCAACAAGGTGATATGGAGGGTGCACAAACAAGAAAAAACAAATCTGAGTAAAACATTAATTAAAATATCAAACTGGAAAAACATCTCTTTCCGATTGTTGTAATTTAATAGTTCTAGCTTTATGTATGTAGGGCTCAGGCCTGCAACCCTTATTCATGCCAGTAATCATCACTTACATGAACAGTCCTACTGAGTCCAATGATACTATGGCTCTATGTAAGTAAGGGCTGAAGGTTTGGGGCCTCTGCCTGCTGACCTTAAAGAATAATACTTATAAAAATGGCACCTAAATTAAGATTTCAAATGTACAGTTAGGAGAAAGGGGAAATTAATAAGTGTTCTTAAACAGGGTCAAACTGATCTTCACTCTAACTCTATTGAAGTCAAAGGGAGTGTGCTGGCTGAGTGAGGACTGAAGGGTTAAGCATGAACTAGTACAGTATATTCTCTTCCCCAAATGATGGACTAGTCTATAAATATGAAAGTGGTCAGTTGGATTTACTTAGAAAATGCTGAGCAAAAGCTGTTTTTAATGTATAAACAGATGGAAATATCAGAGGAAATTTTACCAAGTGCAAAGAGAGAGGCATATTTTAAAAATTAAAAAAAATACAGCTTTTCTACCTCCTGAACTCAACTTACTGTCTTTTTCCTCTGTGTTTCCAGTTCCAATTCCTTTCTTTCTTTGGCTCGGAATTCTTGACGCTGTTCAAAATAATCCAGATGTTTGACCTCTCTCTCAAAGTAATGAAGAACACTGGCACGCTATTAACACAAAGGCAAGCATGGTTTGTGGTGATCACAGTGAATCTGAATCATCGCACTTTTCAGCACATAATCCATCTACAGTAATGTTGCATTGCTTTAAAGCATCTTTTTAAATATACAGAACTAAATAAGAAATTCTGTAATAATGTGATACATCTACCATTTCCTGATTAACCTGATAATGTTGTTATCAGTTTCCCTATCCTAGTGTGGGTTTATGCACAGACTTGCAGTAAAATAACAAAAGGCATGGATTAAAACTGATTTTAAATGTTTTTGGTGCAAGTCTGTGTGCGGCCAAAGTCACTTTTCTAGTCTCAATAACAAACTGACTTTACCCACTCACATTGTGAAACAAGAGTGACCCCTCACACACTTGCACCAAAATAACTAAATTGGTTTTATGATAATGATTTAGTTAAATCAATCCAGGTCTGTGTGTAAACCAGTCCTGAGTTACGTTTTGTGCACTAAGCTCCCCAACGCCACCCGACCTCTCCACTATGCCAGTTATTTGAGTCAGACTGTGCACCAATTTCCCTAACACGACTGTTCAAGATCCTAGAGTTTTTTTAACAGAATGTAAAGATTTTACAGTAAGTAGATAAATATTCCCAAATGGTGCTGGATTGACAACTCTGTCCAGTAAAGCCCTCTATTCACAAAACAAATACAATATGGGCAGAAGCAGCACAAGTTTCCCTACACTGGAAATGTGTCCCGAACCTGAACTGGAGAGGTTCTCTTTACTGAGCCAAGGGTGCCAGTTATCACCAGTATTCATATTGTTTCATTTTGGTTACATACCATAACTTCATAGTGAGCTCACAATATACATGAGTACATAAATGGTAAGAGGAAGGTTTGGGATAGTGAGCAGGAGTGGTTTGGGGAAAGAGAATAGGGAGAACAGAATAAGCTGCAGAAAAAATTGTTAGAACGAGTGAGATGGGGCCTCTAACTTGTTTTCTGGTGGGGAGAAGGAGCTGGGAGAAACTGAATGAAAGAGGTACAGAGAGAAGACATGCAAATTCAGCACCTAATTTTGCAAATTATTATTGATGCAAATTATTTATTATTTGTAGTGTTACAGCACCACGCCCCCATTGTAGTAGGCATTGTACAAACACACAGAACAAGACAGTCTCTGCCCCAAAGAGCTTACAATTTAAACGTTTTTACTCAAATGTGCAGTCCCAATGAGTTGGTGGGGGCTAGTTATGTAAGGGTTTGCAGGATCAGATCCTAAAAGATCTACAGTCAGATCCTTGGATGGTGTAAATCAGCATGGCTCAACTGAAGTCACTGACTTCCTTGGAGCAAAATTTATAGGAAAAAAGTCAAGGCAAGTGTATAGAATGTAGTTTATGAAACCTGGTGCCATTTTATGCGTGTGGCAAAAAATGGTGTTTCTACAGTTTGGACACTTCATCTACATTTTTCCCATTTCCTGGTTATAACGATGAAATTCTGCCAACTCTGCTTCTTGCAACAACTGGTTTTCCTCTGAGGTCTCACTGCTGAGGACGTCCCAGGTCCAGCTTTGGTTTGTGAGATGTTATGAGATAGTGGCTGTGGATCATTTCAAACACAAGCTAATCACCTTTAGTATGTAGGAATCCGATAACCTGAAAGGATGTGCCTGAAAAAAAACTGTCATGAAACCCCACAACATATGTGGTCACTTAAAGGGTAAGCAGAAAATGTTACAAACCTCATTACTGGAAGGGTGACTTAATGTCCAAGAGATTTCTAAAATATGCAGAGTTCCAAAGTTATCAGATATAGCTAAAAAGTGCTGCTTTGCTATGAGAGTATAAAAACAAAATAAACAATGATGCTATTACTAAAGATACAGAAATTAAATTAAAATGTTTGTGTAACCCCCAGACTGCAGGACATAAGCCAACCACTAACTAATAGGCTAAGAAGAAAATTCCCCTCTAAATTATTCTGTGATTGTCCACTATGGGTATTCTTGCATCTTCTTCTGAAGCATGTGGTACTGGTCATTGCTAGATATTGGATTAGATGGGCCAGTGACCTGACCCAGTATGACCATTACTGTGTTGGCATCTTTTTAACAATGAATTCTAGTATTTACTGATTAACTTTTCAGCTAAGGCCTCTATTCATACAGAATTCCAAATACGGTTATTTGAGTCATTGCATATTAGTTTTATTGTGATCGTGCCCAGAGAACCTAATCACAGATTGGGACTCTACTGTGTTAGGCATCCTACCCAAGGGAAGGATGGTTCCTGCCCCAAAGTGCTTATGATCTAGTAAGGGTCATGGAGCTTTTCTGCAGTTTCCATGGTTTCCCAGGGAATAGGCAAGTATAATTTAAAAACTCTTTTATGTAAAGTTCCAGGCATTTCTCTGACTCGCTATTAAAAATGTGAAAAAGATTTTGTTTTATTTAAGATGCACAGTTTCACCCATAAAATACTTAAACCTCATAAAGCTGTTGACAAAAATGCTTAAGCAAGTGTGCACATCCATCAATCTTTTTAAACAGAGAGAGTGAATAGCTCCCAAAGACTCATTTTTGTTAGTTTTTTTTTAGGTTTTTGTTTTTGCAGCAAAAAATAGCCTTATTTTGTCTTGTATATCTAATAATTAAATGTCCCTTATTACACAGAAATATATTTTTACCTTTTCAAACTTGCTTAAAAGAAACAATATTTTTGTAACAATATTAAAAAACAAAAGAAACTGTGCTTAGTTGCTTATGTAATGATAAAAACATGAAGGCCCCAATACTGAAAAGATTTATGCATGTGTTTTACTTTATTCACAGTGCATAGTCTCAGTGACTTCAATGGAACAATGCATAGTGTGTAAACTTAAGGATATGCATAAACCTTTCCAGGATCATGGTATAATTTATTTTTAAAATAGTGTTATGGAAAAGTATAATCACTGTCAACATACAAGAGACGATCCAGGGTTTGATGCAGGTGATCATTGATATAGAGATGTTCTGGGTCTGGGATGGCTCATGTGTTTTCTCCAGTAGGTCCCAAATATCAATATTTCCATCTTCTCTACCAATGAAGAAAACTCCGGCTCTCGATAAGGACCAATGTCCTACAGTATATCTTTTTGATGAGCAGCATGATTGAAGGATTGGGCCACTCTTAATTTAAAAAAAAAAATCCAATATAAAAGAAACCAAAACAATCACAAACAAAAAACCAACCCAGTCAGAACTCTTTCCAGCCTCCTGCTTGTGTAATGTGAGAACGCTTCCCATTTCTGAGTGATCCCACTACACAAGTAATTATGGGGTCAAAACCAGCGTGTATATTGTTGACTGGTAAAGAGAAGCATTGTAGGGAAGTGGAAAAGTTGATGCCCACTCCCTCAGTTGAGGGAGTCTGCCTACCTATTGACAAACAAAAAATCTGGGTTTTGCTAGATGCAACTAAAGTCCTGGATTCCCAGATGGCAGCAATAGTAAGAAACACGTTTTTCAATATTTGGCTGGCCAAAAGACTGCACCCATTCCTCACTGGTATGGATGCTACCATAGCCATCCTTGCCTTTGCTATCTTTAGGCTAGAATAGTGCATTTCCTTTTCCTTAGGACTAGTCACTTTGCCCTTCATTGTGCTATAACTCCAAAGGGGAAAAAAAAGAGAGATTGAATTATTATTTGCTGTCTCTATTACTCTGTTGTTCAAATTACTTTTGTCTAATGGGGGGTTCCGCAAGCCTGTAGTATTGTTTAGCACATCCTACCTCTACTCTCAAGCTCCTCTGACTGACAACGGACTGCTTGAAATGGAAATAGCCTGGGCAGAAGCCACAAGTGTCACGAAAGCTGGTATTAGAGAAAGTTGCTTCCTCCGTTGGAGTCAAGTTTACAAAACTATTTTTAAAAGCTTAGCTCTGGCAGGAGAAAATAGCTTATTTTTTTTAACCCAATTTATTTTCAAACTGGCTAGCTCTGCCATCTACCATCATTTCCGTGAGCCTTGTCCCTGAGGCTACATACTGTAGTTACTCTATTCTTTTCTCCATCAACTATAGTATGTCTGTTGCCAAAGTAACTTACTGTAACACCTTCTTTCCATATGGCAAAATTCCAGCCTCCAACACTAAGAATGATGTCTTTGAAAAATGGAGATCTTTGTATAGTGTGGACAATTCCATCATGGATGGTGTATTTGTTAGCTGGTTTCTGACCTAACAAAGTGAAAAGGACAATTATTTACTTGTAACTCTAGTTTTTTGAAGATAGCAAAATTGATCCTACAATCCTCAACCTAGTAGGAGTTTTTCTGGAATAACTATTGCAGGATTGGATCCATTATCTTTAATGATTCCTTCTCCTGGGTTTTTGTGCCTCAGATCCATGTGCTCTTAATCTGATTAGCACAGATAAAGGAAAGCGGCCTCAACCCAGTCTCCAAATATATGCCTGCAGTTTTGTCCAAGAAAATTGTGATATCAAACTCCCATAATTGTGCCTGCCTGCCAATTGGTTAAAACATTTGAGTACCTGATTACAGGCCCTTGCATTTTGATTAGTTTAATACACTCTCTTATCTTTAAGTCTCTGTTCTAATTTTCTAATAACTCTCAGGCATTAGTCCCCGAGGAAGGAGATCCTAGTGGGGAGCTATGGAAGGCACTGTACTTGCCTTTAGAGAATTTTCATTAATTCAGATATTATTATTAGCTTTATTGTTCAGTGTACATTTCTGTGAGATACTGACACCATTTGAGAAGTTTTTAAAATATGCTGTCAGGATTCCCTCCCCACTCTGAACTCTAGGGTACAGATATGGGGACCCGCATGAAAGACCCCCTAAGCTTATTTCTACCAGCTTAGGTTAAAAACTTCCCCAAAGCACAAATTCTTCCTTGTCCTTGGAATGGTATCGCTGCCACCACCAAGTGAGTTAGACAAAGATTTAGGAAAAGGACCACTTGGAGTTCCTGTTCCCCAAAATATTCCCCCAAGTCCCTTCACCCCCTTTCCTGGGGAGGCTTCAGAGTAAACAAGGTGAGCACAGACCAGACCCTTGGGTTTTTAGGACACTAAAAACCACAGTCAGATTCCTAAAAAACGAACTTTTATTATAAAGAAAAAAAGTAAAAGAAACACCTCTGTAAAAATCAAGATGGAAGATAATTTTACAGGGTAATAAAGTTTAAAACACAGAGGATTCCCCTCTAGGCAAAATTTTAAAGTTACAAAAAAACAGGAATAAACCTTCCTCTTAGCATAGGGAAAATTCACAAGCTAAAACAAAAGATACTCTAACACATTTCCTTGCTATTACTTACTAGTTCTGTAATTTTAGATGTATCATTCAATAGGAGCTGGATTACTTGCTTGGTCTCTCTTTGTCTCCAGAGAGAACAACAAACGCCCAAAACAAAAACCTTCCCCCACAGATTTGAAAGTATCTTCTCCCCTTATTGGTCCTTTTGGTCAGGTGCCAACCAGGTTATCTGAGCTTCTTAACCCTTTACAGGTAAAGGAGGGATTTTATGCTACCCTTAGCTGTATATTTATGACATATGCTTTTGATTTATGTCTATAAATTGAATATTTTTAGTCATCATCCTATAAACTGTTAGAGTTCAGCAAGCATTTCTTAGTTCATGATAGAAATAATAAGACATTAAAATGGAACTTAAAACTTTTAGCTTCTCACAATGTAACCCTCTTTATTGAATCCCTCAGTTACAAACATTGGAATATTTTTAGTATCCACCAATTAAATGCAAAAGCTACACTAATGCAGTTAAAATTAAAAAGCCAGGAAATACAGAAGTTTGGATTTCTACAGCAACATTGTCAGCCAAGTTGCATGACGTACATACTACATATTTCCTTTCTGTTTTTATATCGTTAAATGAATGGTTTAATATTTAATATAGTATTGTTTCCATTTTTAATATATACCAAAAGATACTCAGAATGTTCAGTGTAGCTAAGCTAATGTCACTTTAAGGACCTATTGGATTTGCACACATTTTCATTTTAACCATGCAGCCAAATGTTTTAATATAGGTTTTTCTATTAATTTTGTTGTGTTTTAGAAAAATGCAATTTCCTATTTTAAATAATCCCAATTAAGCTTTCAAGTGAGAAGACTTCGGAAGGGGGGAATTTCCACTACTGCTACACTTGCTGCTATTCTGTGGCTGGAAATCGTCTTCAGACTGTTTACAGGGCATCAGCTTACATTTAAGTTCCATCTGTACTAACAAATTGACCCATTGTTGGCAACAGCTGCAACAGGTCCCACTAAGATGGTGTTAAAAACATTTTAATTACTAGTGTAAATGGGACAAAACTGTTTTCAGCATCACTGATCATGCATTCGGTAATGGTATTGAAGTGGGTTTTCTTCATTCTACAGTAGCAGTCAAATCCTTTTCAACACCAGTTTGGAGGCTCTTTGCTGATGCTGGTTGTCAGCAATGAGTCAAATTCCTACTGCAGACAGGGCAAGAGTCCGTCCTACAAAGCTTACATCTCCGTGTAATAAAACAAGGCTTAAATCTATGTCTGTATCCTCTGTATCCGTCCGGTCATCCATTAGCTTAAAAAAGCAGTTTTAGTTGATGGTGAAAAACTTGAACTTACTAATCAGTCTTCCTGAGTCACTCTCTCTTTCCATCTTCCAGTCGGAATAAATAACTTCACCATCCTGTGATGCCAGAAAAATCAAATAAATGCAAACAGAAGCTGGGTGAAATATTTATAGCAAAAGCTTTAGGCAAAAGGTGCCTATTTTTAGTTTGTAAAATTGGAGTCTCTTTACTAAATTTAAATTTTTAGGTACATTTAATGTGAACATGTTTTAGCATGACTGCAAAAATGGGGCAAATGTTCACTTACTTTATCAGTTGGGTTGTTTTAATTAAAAAAAAAACCCTGCAGTCTTCAGGAAAAACTCACCAATCAGCATTTATAGGGCATTCTTCATGTAGAGCTGGAGTAGTTCACATGTATTATATGGACCTTGCCCCATAGTTTTAGGAAAAGGTGGCAGCAACAGAGAAAAATTATTTCAACGGGAACCCCAAAATGGAAGAAATGCCGGAAATTTTAAAAAGACACCCTTTTAAATGGTTCAATTTTGGCAGCTAGATCTAGTTTAAAGAGGGTAGAAGCTGGAACATTAGGCTTATTTTTAATACAGGACTAAATTAGGGAAAAAAAATCAAAATATGATAAAGCTTTCATGAGACTTCTAGGGGAAACCTTGCAATAAACATTACTGTCCTAATAGTTCTGGCAATGGGAATAAGGACATTTTATGTGTTCCTAGGTTTAAGAATTAAGTTCAACACCTTTTGGCTAGGATTTCCAATGGAGCCTAGGGGAATTAGCCACCCAACTCCCACTGACTTTCAATCCCAGCCTTTAAACATGAGTGTATGGCCCAGCGATCTTTTAAAGTAAAATATTTATATAAATGTGTCAAAATGGGCTACAAAGGCAAGGCAAATTCTGAGTTAAAAAACTACTGATTAACTCATAAAGAAAACATGTACATGCACCAGTCTGTGTAAACTGTCCAGCACACCCCCGCTATTTTAAGAATGATCAGTCATAGATTATAATCAAAATGTTTAACTTACTTCAGTTCCAACAAAAAAGTTGGTGGGGATATTCTCCAATATCTGAAGAGCTTTGGCTGAAGGGACCTTTAACTGCTTATAAGGATTTTCATCTCCAAATATTTCTGGTTTGACTTGGTATTGCATCTTATCTTGAAAAGAGTATGGATATAATCATTTGGTTATATAGGGAAATTTACTAGATCAGGCATTTTATTTTCCTTACTAAGGTAATTCCAGGGTGAGGGGTTAGAACTTTCAAGATGAGAAATAAGGAAGGGAAGAAAATTCTGGAGAAGAGTGAACCTAGTATGGCATGGAATAGAATGTTACCTTAATCTAGCAGGGGGAAAGAGGCTGAGCACATACAAATTGCTAGCAATACAAGGCAGGCGAAGCGGTACTCTTATGGTGCCTACACTTCAGATTTTTCATAAAATCTCCCACAGTTGCCCACCACTGATGCAGTTCCACTAGTGGCAGACACAGCGGGAGCACTAGCGTCGGCCAGTTTACGTGGTTAAAATGCTGATGACACACTAGGACTCCCAATGTTGCTACCCCGGCAGAGCTCTAACACTGCTGTAGCAATGGGAGTAAGTGATCATCCAACCTGAATTGGGTGGGACAATCCAAAATGCAGAGTTCAAGTCCCAGGCTGAATGACTCTGGGATAGCATTTGTCACAGATTCCCTGCAGCGCCTGCTCCGTGCCTTCCAAGGCTCTGGGCGGCATCAGCCTGTTCCTGGGGGTGGGGGGCTGAGTTTGGCCTTAGCCCCTCCTTTGTCATGAGGCCTTGCCCCTGCTCCTCCTCTTACCCCTGAGTCCCTTCCCCCCTGGCCAGGCCAGCAGCTGGAGCCAGGCTGTGGTAAGAGCCACCCTGGGCAGGTGGAGGACCCAGGGCTCCCCACAGCGGGCCAGCTCTTACCATGGCCTGGCTCTGGCTTTCGGCCTGGCCAGGGGACAGGGACTCGGGGTAAGAGGAGGAGCAGGGGTGATGTCACAGAGGGGGAGTTGCTCCTGCATGTGTCCTGCTTTTGCCTTTTGAAAAGGTGGTCACCCTAAATGGGAGAGGCTAAGAAAAACTCACAATACAGGATGTGCTTGTGGAGACAGCTATGCTGCAACCATGTAAATGGATAAGCAGGGTAGTAGGTCTGGGATGATAGCCAGAAAAATCTGTCACTTGAGAATCCTAAGCACTGCTGGAAAAGGTGTGATGGAAAACCCTGACTTCAGAGAATAACTGAGTCTGGGCACAATCCTATGAATATTTATGCACCCAAGTGGTCTCATTGACTTCAGTGGGACTATACAAATGAGTAACATTTCTCTGGTATAGATGTATTTGCTCTCTAGATTGAGCTTGTTGGCTGCTAACAGTGAATGTATATTTGTTTAAATAAATGTTTCACTTGGAATTAAAAAATATAGCAATATTTCTCTTGGTCTTTCTTTCGTTTAGACCAAACTTGACTAGGCAATGCCCCTTTCAACCTCAGGGGAAAAACATGATCACCAGTAATGAAAGTGTCTAACACTTGCTGGAGCCTGTGTTGTTCTTATAAAACTTTTCATGTATCTCCAGAACTTGATAAAGACAATTGACAATGACTTCTGTTGTTCCAGAATTCTTACTTTCCTTCTTTGTCAAGGGTTCAGTAGCAAGTTGGAATTAAACAGCTGAAAGATTAGTGTGTCTCTTGGATGCTCTCATTTTTGGGGGACGGCGGGGAATTTGAAGTTTGCTATGTGAATATGTTAAGGTAGTGAGTTTGTAGAATTATTTATGAACTTTTTATTTAAAACTGTAGTTAGTAGTGGGCAGTACATAAATCTGATCCAGCACATCTTAGTAACAGAGTTATAGTGCTTCAGGGTTAGTGTGATAATGATTTCCAAAAGTATTTTTAAGGTCACATGCTGTCCCATTGGTACTAATTTGCTCCAAACCTTATAAACCTGCCTGATGATCGTTCACCATTCCAAATCTGCCTTGTTCCCCCTTCTGTTGCCTTCCCCATTCTCCAAAGACTTTAATGATTTTTCAATATTTTCCTTTTGATTGCTGTTTTACCAACGCAAGGAGGAAGGATGGTCTACCCATTAATGTGGGACTCAGAAGAATTGGGTTAAATTACCTGATCAGTCAGTGACCTGTGTGACCTTGAGCAAATCACTTAACCTTTCTGTGTCTTAGTTTATCCCTCTGTAAAATGGGGGTAATAGCACTTCTCTACCTTTTGAGGGACATGTGAGGATAAATACATTAAAGATTGTGTGGCAGTAACACTCAAATACTATGGTAATGGGAGCTATACAAGTACCTAAGATAGCATGATAGGTTTTCTCTCTGAATACTTTCTCTGAAAGTATTATCGTACAGAAGACTAATAATTTCTGATGCAAAGTAAGCAAATAGAAGACTTGCCTCAGGAGTAGAAAATTAGTAAGGAAAGGTTCATTTAAAATAAAACCCCAGGTTAATAAATTTCTAACAGTGGCTCTAAAGGAGGAAATCACACATAGTACTGACCAAGGCTCAATTCACTTTAATGGGAATAAGTACTCCTGAGAAAAACAGCTTGCTAGTATAACTTCTAATGAGATCTGATAACCTGTGACCCATTGCTAGAGAATTCTGTTCTTCTCATACTGTATGTGTTCATTACCTTCACCATGCCATGATATACCAGTAAATTTAGGAAAACAGGTCCACTAGTTACAGTATATTTATGTTGCTTATCTTTTATTCTATATGCAGAGAAAAATCATCTTACCAAAATACTTACATGTCAAAAATATCCACTGAAAATATTACCTTGCATTTTGTAATGGAAATGCTCTTCCACTAGGCTAATTTTGGTAGGACTATACTCTCCACTTGTGTCGCTCTTGGATAGGTTTGCCTGTTTAGTACAAAGGGAGTATTTGATAACTCATTTTGTCAAACACTTGAGGCATATGTCTAAATTGCTTTCTGTTGTAATGGTAAAGACCTGTCAGTCTGAAGTGCATTCTTCAGATTCCACAAATCCTTCCAACACCACCTTTGCTAGCTTCCAACGCCGCCTTTGCTAGCAGTAGGTAAAATGTGACTCAGCGGTCTAGCCGACATTATGCTTTTCCCTCTAAAATTTCTCACTGTTGCCACTTCAATGTCAGCTCCACTGGTGGTAATCCCAGTGGCCACTCGTGTTTTAACAAACATGTCTCTAGACCTGCTCTGACCAGGATAGACAACCTGGTGGTAAAAGTGCTTGTATACATTACTACTTCCACTGTAGCCTGAGTTTATTCAGAAATTCTTAGATCATTTTAAAGTTCTTGTAAGCTAAGTTTGGAAAGTATTTGTCCTATTCTGTTCATGTTATAGGGATTCAAATTTGCCCCTACACGAATCACAACAAAATTTAAAAGGAAAATCACGATACTGTGAACATTTACATGGTAAGATTTGGGGTGAGGGGGTGGAGAGTGAGCCCCCATACACTCACCCCGCAGCAGTGGCTCCTATCCTGCAGGTCTGGACCTGGCTCCCTACTCGGGGCATTGTGACCGAGTGCCCAGGGGTGACAGTACCACTCAGGTTTGACCAGTGGGATTAGGGTTGGAGTACTGGGACCGAGGGTGCTTCTACTGGTGGTTGGTGCCCTGTTGGCAGGGCAAAGAGGCAGCAGCAATAAAGAGACTTAGGTATATTGTCTCCAAAGAGAGAGAGCTGAATTTTCATACCTTTTCCCCTAAAACCATGACTTTTTTACTAAATTTAGCAGGATTGCACTGTGATTTTTTTTTTAATTTAAAAATGCCATGACAACTCTGCAGGCCTATACATTATATACAGTACCTTAATGAGAGGTCTCCAGGAGAGATCTAGATGTTTAAAAGTAGTCGGTACATCAGGGGGAGCCTCGATAACCTTGTCTTCTTTTACTTTCTCGAATGAACTCTGGATAGTAGCTTTGGGGGCTCGAAGATCCCAAAATAATATGGAGCTCCACAAAACCAGAGATTGTAGGTTATTGCTATTCGTATGCTTAAAAATCATTTAAACTTTTCAATAAGCTTTTGTATAATTGTTTTTTATCTTCAAAATTAGTATAGCAATAGATGCAAGAGTTTGGGGAACAGAGAAATGGAGAACTAGTTTATAGCTACTTTTGTACACTATGGCATATAGTTACTCCACATTTTGTCCTCACTCTCTTCTTAATCATATACTGTAGCTAAATAAGCATCATACAGTTTAAGAAAACTACACACTCAGTGGATGAAATGCACTCCCTTGCATAGAGCCTAATTACTTGGTCTGGGACTGTGTCTGCTGTGCAGCCTCTGGGTTGGAGTTGCATCCACAGCCCTGCCAGCCAGTTGAAGAATGTAAGAAATGTCATACTGGTCTGACTCAAGGGCCATCTAGTCCAGCACCCTGTCTCTGACAGTGGCCAGTAGTGGATGCTTCCTGAATGAAATGAGTTGTACTGGCAAAAGGACTATGTGCAGGTCTAACTCCATCTACACTAGGGCTTTTGCCAGTTTAGAAATTTTATTAAAAACCCACACTAATTGACGTTACTATTCAAGAAAAAGTTTCTTGTGTAGACATGGCCTTAGGTTATTTAGCAGCCTTCTGTGCATAAATACAGTTCTGTGGCCTTCCAGGACAATCTACGTGGGGCCAGCACAGACGCTTTTTCTGTGGCACAGAGTGAGCATGAAAGCACCTCTGTAAGGCTGTCCAGCTAGTGGACCCCACACGCTGCCCTTATGTGGGGTTTAAGTGATGTGGTGGTCCGTGTGCTGGCCCTCTGCAATAGGATGAATTTAATCTATTCCAGATAGCTTTGTAGGAATTCAGAACTTTGTCAGTTACACCATTGAATATATGCTGAAATATTTAGCAGAGAGAAGGAATAAGGTATATTTAGAAGGATTTTCAAAGGAATTCAGGAGATGTTTTGTGCCTATGAAAACATTTGTAGAATGCATTACCAATCAGGAGAGCAGGTTACAAGCTGCACACAAACTCCAGTTCTGTTTTCAAAAACAATGCCCATTCTGTTAACCTAAAATAATAATTAATTAATAATACAGGGAGGTGGAGATGAGAAATGGCAACAAATTATTATCAACAAAGCTACTTCTTCACCGCCTCTAAAAACAAACTTTAAGAAAGAGAGCCTCTCGCTGTGGGCTGTACAACTCCCCTGGTACAGCTTTCAGAGTAGCAGCCATGTTAGTCTGTATTCGCAAAAAGAAAAGGAGTACTTGTGGCACCTTAGAGACTCACCAATTTATTTGAGCATGAGCTTTCGTGAGCAAGTCAGGGCTCATTAGCCCATTGATATGAAAATGAAACAAACACGTTTTACCAAAACAAACATACTGCAAGCAAATCAGTTAGTGCCTTGATATTCAGAAATGCCAAGCATGTAGAACGTGAAATGAGGTCAATGAGATCTTAAGTTACTGGCACAACTGAAAATCAGGCCCTCAGTTGTCAAATATGTGAGTACCTAATATCCATCCTCTTGTAAATTTCATCCTGCTCAAACAAATAGCAAATCAGTGAAGAATTAATGGTAAACAACTACATAGTGAAATTGCAATTCAAAAAGTGAATATCTCAAATGATACTTGCTTATAGTAATTATAAATAATTTAGTTTTTATTAGGCTTCTTATGTTTTTCCAATAACACTTTTCTCTGAATTGATCATTTTTTTTACTTATTTCCTCTCTTTTTAGATCAAAACAGAAAATTAGATTTACATTTAAACTTATTCAGAAAATAAAAGAATAGCAAAGTGCTGATGAAATAATGCAAGTTATTGATTCCAGTAATGTTTTCTGATCTTATTTTCAAACCTAATTCCCAATCTCAAAAAGATGAAAATGTATGTACACAATGGAATCTTTGTCCAGAGAAAGAATTGACTACTTCCGGATAATTGGCAAAACCTGCATTTATCAGCTACTCAAGAAAGTTGCATCCATTCTTTTAACACTTTGTAAGCCAAATCCTTCTAAATTTTCTCAAACAAACATGGCCACTGAAGTCAAAAGGTTATTTGCATGGGTAAGGAAGGCTGGATTAGAATCAGAATGTAGTTTGTTTACTTTCTATCATGCAGTTTTGTAATATTGGATTTGCTGATCCTGTGCCAATGTAGCACTGATGCTCTAGACAGACCCTGAGTTGAACCACTGGCAAATATGTATGTACTCTTCTGCGGAGGCCTTGTCTTTATACGTGTATATACAGTGCCAAGAGGGGGTTGTGGGTACTATCACAATATAATTAGTGATTAATGTGCAATGTATCAATCTTCCTTCCAAAGATGTATATGCATTGTCTTCTCCACAGTCTTCACTCGAGCGTTAATGCAGTAGCAACTGAGTCTTAAAAACTTAGTTACAAGAAATTCTCAAGGTAACATCCTCTTTGGGTGGTGGGTCAGATTTTTTCAACCTGGCCTCTTTTTTGCACACCTCACTAATCCTACTACTTAGACAGCAAATGATCACCTTGGGCTGACTCATGGAATCCCTCTTTCCCTCCCACACTAACTTTAGAGGTAGCTGGATGGGCCCTTAAGATACTGTGGATGGAGCACTATGAATAGGATAGAAAGTAAATGTAGGTGCAATTTTTGTGGGTGCAACTTCTATCTAGAAAAAGGAGAAAAAGTCATTTCTAGCAACTAAGTTGTTTAGGTGACCTAGGAAGTTATTGCTTTAACTTCTTGGAGTCAGGCAAGGAATTCCCATAGTAGAGTTAATATACAAAAAGAAAAGGAGTACTTGTGGCACCTTAGAGACTAACCAATTTATTTGAGCATCAGCTTTCATGAGCTACAGCTCACTTCATCGGATGCATAAAGTGGAAAATACAGTGGGAAGATTTATATACACACAGACCATGAAAAAATGAGTGTTTATCATACACATTGTAAGGAGAGTGATCACTTAAGATGAGCTATTACCAGCAGGAGAGTGGGGTGGGGGAAGAGAAAACCTTTTGAAGTGATAATCAAGATGGGCCATTTCCAGCACATTTCCAGGAGTTAACAAGAACGTCTGAGGAACAGTTTGGGGGAGGGGGGGAGGGAGGAATAAGCAAGGTGAAATAGTTTTACTTTGTGTAATGACTCAACCACTCCCAGTCTCTATTCAAGCCTAAATTAATTGTATCCAATTTACAAATTAATTCCAATCCAGCAGTCTCTCCTTGGAGTCTGTTTTTGAAGTTTTTTTGTTGAAGAATAGTCACTTTGAGGTCAGAAATCGTGTGACCAGAGAGATTGAAATGTTCTCCGACTGGTTTATGAATGTTATAATTCTTGACATCTGATTTGTGTCCATTTATTCTTTTACGTAGAGACTGTCCAGTTTGACCAATGTACATGGCAGAGGGGCATTGCTGGCACATGATGGCATATATCACACTGGTAGATGTGCAGGTGAACGAGCCTCTGATAGCGTGGCTGATGTGATTAGGCCCTATGATGGTGTCCCCTGAATCTATACTCTCCTGCTGGTAATAGCTCATCTTAAGTGATCACTCTCCTTACAATGTATATGATAAACACCCATTTTTTTCATGGTCTGTGTGTATATAAATCTCCCCACTGTATTTTCCACTTTATGCATCCGATGAAGTGAGTTGTAGCTCATGAAAGCTTATGCTCAAATAAATTGGTTAGTCTCTAAGGTGCCACAAGTACTCCTTTTCTTTTTGCGAATACAGACTAACACGGCTGCTACTCTGAAACCAGTTAATATACAGTAACTCCGCACTTAAGGTTGTCCTGGTTAATGTTGTTTCATTGTTACGTTGCTGATCTATTAGGGAACAAGCTTGTTTAAAGTTGCGCAATGCTCCCTTATAACGGTGGTTTGGCAGCTGCCTGCTTTGTCCACTGCTTGGAGGATTCTCAGGAAGAGCAGCCTCTCCTTGTGGGGATTAGAACCGGCCCGGGGGGGAAGGGCTGTCATTGTTTGGCATTCTAGGATGCAGTCAGAAATACAGTACTGAGCCCAAGTACTACTGAGATTATTATAAATAATTTCATCTTGTAACACTGATCTGCAGTTCACACACTGCTTTTATTAGTCATTTGTTAAAAATATAAAGAAAAAGTAATAAAATATCCATTGAAACTCACCTCAAAATAGTCTGGCAGCCAGTGTATATCTGTTATTACTGTTTTATGGCCATATTCTATGGAAGAGACTGCACAATATCTCACAAAATGTGGTTCCTTACCACTTTGTTGTGCTTGTATAAACGTTGGCTAGAGAAGTTTTTAAAAGATACATTTTAAAAGGTATGTTTTGCAAAATACAACATTAGTTATCAAGAAAAAAGAGGAAACTTCTCATATTGTTAATGTCCCTTTACAGTATTTTAGTTCAACCTAGAAACCTTTCTAGGGGTCTGATCTAAAGCCCATTAAAGTCAATGTAAAGTCTCACTCAGCTTTGAATCAGATCCTGGCATACCATACTCTAAAATTTATGTCCACAATTGCTCCACCCACCTCCAATATAGCATTATTTCTTCCACTGTGCTCTCAGGCCTTCCTTCTAATTACCCACTTTTGTATCCTCTTTCCATTCTCATCTTTGTGCCTTCTTCCATACCACACACTCTGCCTGGAACTATCTCCCTCATTCCATGAGCCAAACCACCTTCCCTCTACCCTTTAAATCTGTCCTTTAAAACACACTTCCATACACACCTTTAGCACTGGGGAAAATTTCTGTTCTGCTTTCAGTTTATACCTCATCCAATACTGATTTGATCTATTCGGTAGCTTCCTGGGGGTAGGGCTGAATACACTGTTGGTGCTCAATAAATAACAATGCCCTATTGTATCTCTGGTCTGTGTGGATTACAGTAATATTATTTATCTGAGTTGATGATGTAGATATGAGATTTTGATAAAGATTTATTTTGTTGCCTCACGTATTGGAATACAAACAGTCTAGTTAGTACTTCATTGCCAGGCTGATATTTCCTTCATTTTAAGCCTGCATTCCCTTTCCCATATTTTATTTCCTAACTTTCTCTCATTTTCCTTTCTCCCCCCCCCCCCTTTTTTTTTAATTCACAGCAGGGCATACTCCAGCACTAAATACAGAACTCAAGTACTAACCATATTAACAGCAGTGTTCTTGCTTCCACCAGCACCAGTTTTAGCATTCTGCAGCTTTTCTTCATACTCAGAAATGTCCCACAGTACAACCTATGAGGAGAAATGAATGTCCTTACAAATTATTTTTTCTGTTTAAATGATAGATTAAAACATACTTCTGAACTGTAATATGAGCACTGTTTGAGACAAGAAGGAGGAAGGCAACTTTCTATACCAGAACTGGAGGGTGGTGTTTTTTTTAAGGTATTGCCTCTGTAGACCCTCACTGTAGCAGTCTCGTGCAACAAGACTGCAAATCCTAGAACCATCTGAGTCACTTAACAATTGGTTGGCCTGTGTAGCTTGTCACACTGATCAAGCATTTCTAAGTGTTACCTTTAAAGTGATTGCTGAGGTTGTGGACTAAAAAACTGCTTCTATGACATCACATCCTCAGACTCAATAAAGGATTAGACATTTCTATGGATGATGAGAATGTTTACTGACAGGATAAAACATTTATACGGGATGTAAACTTTCATGTTTCATAAACCAACATTAATTGATGAAAGTTGGGAATAAAACTTCCCGTCCATAAAAATGTCTAATCCTTTTCTGAATTGTTTTAATCTCCTGGGGTCAGTAATATCTTGTGGTTCCACAGGTTAATTATGTGTTTGTAAAGAAGCAATTTCTTTTTTTAACAGATTAAATGCATTTCCTCTCAATTTTATTGTCCTGCACTTAGAATGGAAGAATTCCATGCACTGCTACAGGCTGGGGATCGACTGGCTAAGCGGCAGTTCTGCAGAAAAGGACCTGCAGATTACAGTGGATGAGAAGCTGGATATGAGTCAATGGTATGCCCTCGTTGCCAAGAAGGCAAAAGGCATACTGAACTCCATTAGTAGGAGCATTGCCAGCAGTTGACGGAAGTAATTATTTCCCTCTATTCGGCACTGGGGAGGCCACATGTGGAGTACTGTGTCCAGTTTTGGGCCCCCCACTACAGAAAGGATGTGGACCAGTTGGAGAGTCCAGCGGAGGGCAACAAAAATTATTAGAGGGCTGGGGCACATGACTTATGAGGAGAGGCAGAGGGAACTGGGGTTATTAAGGGCTTGGCTATGCTTGCAAGTTAGAGTGCATTAAAGCAGCCCCGGGCGTCCTAGCTCCTGAGGTGTCCACAGTGGCAAGGCATGTATAGCGCCTGGACTCTGTAGCTGGAGCGCTCCTGGTAATCCACCTCTATAAGAAGCATAAAGCTTGCTGCGCCCCGGCTGAAACAAGGTCAGTGTGGACAAGGTGTTGCATTACTGTGCTGTGATTGGCCACCAGAAATGCCCCATAATCCCCTGAAGTCAAGTGGCCACTCTTCTCATTCTGTTGAAATCGGCCGCAGGCATGCGGATATTCCCTTTCAAAGCTCAGTTTCTGACAGCCAGCATGCTTATCTGCTCTGGGACAAAGCAAACCGTTAGTGTGGAATGCTGCCATTGTGAGTGTGTGTGAGAGAGGGGGGAGGGTCTGCTGCTGTCTGAACTTACAAGACAACATGCTGACACACTCTCAGCCCCCTAGAACACACTGTCTCTCCCCCCCATACACACAACACACTTCCTGTCACACTCCACCCCCTTCCTCCCCACATTTGAAAAGCACGTTGCAACTACTTGCACACCGGGATAGCTACCACAGTGCACTGCTCTTTGTGGCATTGCAAGAGCTGCTAATGTGTCCACGCCAGTGCGCTTGCAGCTGACAGTGTAAACACACGGCAGCATTTTCCCTGCTGTGGTCTCCGAAGGCTGGTTTAACTCCTAGCGCTCTACATCTGCAAGTGTAGCCAAGCCCTTAGTCTGCAGAAGAGAAGAGTGAGGAGGAGAGTCTAACAGATTCTTTTGTTCCTGTGAGGCTGGGTTTGTCCCATACCTGCCCTGATGAAGTGTGAACTGCTTCTCTGCTCTTGGAGAGTTTTTGCCTGGGCTTATTTTAAGCCATGAGGATACATTTTCAGCCTCATAACTACATACATGAAATTATAACCTGTAACATTACTATAACATCACTGTAACAACAATGCTCAGTGCCTTCCGAAGACACCCGCTATGACAAACTTTGCATTGGATGCCACACAATCATTTTATAAAGATGAACATGGGAGTGTAGGGTGTTCCCCTGAGGTACAGTGTCACACTATTTCACTAGGAGGGTGGAGAAGCACTGGATGGGTTACCTAGGGAGGTGGTGAAATCTCTGTCCTTAGCTGTTTTTAAGGCCAGTTTGACACAGCCCTGGCTGGGATGATTTAGTTGGGATTGGTCCTGCTTTGAGCAGGGGGTTGGACTACATGACCTCCTGAGGTTTCTTCCAGCCTTAATCTTCTATGATTCTATGTCTCCTTGTTTTTGTATTATGGTAGAGGATAAATGGGGTGCCCAACTGTATCTTTTGTACCATTTATCATTTTATATATTCTCTATCATGTTCATATTTTATTGATTTCCTCTCTAGAACCAAAAAAGTAGGAGAACTCTAAAGATGGGAAGCATTCATATTCTAAAGCCACAATGACGTACAAGCAGGGACATGGATCTGGACATGGTCTGGTGCAACTGGTAACAGACACGCAGGTACTATTGGTCCAAGGAAAGGCCCACACTTCTGCCATATTGGAGATGAAGGATAAAGGCAGCATAGCCCTCCTAAAGACAAGCATCTACCGAAACTATGAAGAAGTTATGATCACAGTCTGCTTTGGTACCATCTACATCAAGGAAGCTGGACTGATCTGCTATACTAGATCCCTCACAAGACCACAACTTCTTTACATATTCTCCCTTCCTTTAAGGTATCTGGTGCTGTCCCCTGGCAGACAGGATACTGAACTAGACAGACTGCTGATCTGATCAAGCATGGTAATTTCTATGTTTTTTCTACGACCTGCTATCAATGGATGAAAATGCTCCGTTTCTGGAGCCAAGAGACCTGGATGGGTCTAGAGATTTTAGTTAGCTTAGCCACTTAGATATGAGAAGTGGACATTTTTAGTCAACCCAGTACCCTTAGTGGTTCTGGGACATGAAGAATAGTATGCAATACTCCTAAGAGTGGCAACGTGCCAAGGCAATTCTATGGAGGAGAAACCTGAGATACTCCTTCTCATAAATTACCAACAAAACAGCAAAATGTATTAAAGAAAAAAAATGAGAGTCCATGAGGGTCACTGTCCAAACAGTTGTCCACAGTATGAGGAATTTCTTCAGATAAGATCATGCCTATCCTATCAGCATTATTTGGTGTGGAATACTCTCTTGTGCTGTCAAACCTCTCTCACAAGAGGGATTTAGACGCAGACATAGGTAGGGAACCACGAGGAATGTGGTTCCTTAAGAAACTGAGAAGGAACAGGGGAATAGGACATAAAGTGCAGGCAACAGGATTTCCTTGTAGATATTTGATTATCCATTGGTTAAGAGACTTGGTTGCCCATACCTGCACAATAAAGGTACAAACCCTGTTTCACTACCACAGTGGGCTCATTTGTACAGAATCCATGGGAGCTGAAACTTGGGAATTTTTCCCACAAGTGGTGTGATTTGGCCATGTGTATTTTGACTGTGCTTCACTAGTTTATACAAACTACCAAGTTTGCTGCCATACTGCATTTTCCATTTGTTCAAGAACACTCAATATTCACTATTTAGTGCAGATACACTAATGTAGTAAATTAAAATTCAAAAATGAAGATTGACTAGAACAATCCATATAGAAAATAACAGAAGGAAAAAGAAAGGAACCAACACCTGTCCATTCATACAGCCTCCAGCAATGATATTGGGATCAGATGGACAGAACTCAAAGCAGTAGATATCTTCAGGGCAATCCAGCATTAACTAGAAAAAATAATAATCAATTGAGAAATCCAGCCATGTTGGAAAGATTGTTCCTTTGTTGTCTGAATGCTTTGAATATTTTAAAATCCTGTTTAAATACCTGAGGGTGAATAGGGTCAGAGAAACTCCAAAAAAGAATTGGTGACTTCCGCAACAACAGTTTACCCGATTGGGCAATGCGTTCTTCATAAGAAAGCCGCTCTGTTACTGACACTGCTATAATCCCTGATGGAGGGGAAAACAAACAACTTCATTGTCGATAAAGGGAAAATGTTAGCAGTTCTTAAAAAAAAAATGCTATGCCCACTTCAAGTGTTAATGGCTCTGTTAATTATTGCTTTATAGGTGACCTGTAAAGAGAGACAATTGGCTATGTCTCCTTTTCATATACATAGCCAATTTTTTTTCCCACTGTAGGTCACCTTTAAAGCAATAATTTTAGTTAATGAATGATTAGGCACCTTATAAATGCATGATGGAAGCCCAAGACCAGAATATGACACAATATTTTTGATAAGAGTCGTTTAATTGTAATCTCAAAACTGGAATAACGTGATAGACATGGTTATGCTCTTGGGCACCCATTAAGAAACCAATTCCTTTATTGTTATACTTAAAAAGAAGGCAGATTTCCTGTGCATCCTCCAGTGTTGGCTATTCAATGGCATGTGTGGAGCTGCAATATCCCAAAGGAAGCACTGGAAAGCATTCAGAATGTATACTGGTGCTCTTTGCACTCAGGTGGAGCCACATAGCCAAGTGGTGGGGAGAAGTTGAAAGAGAAGCAGGGCCCCATGGAGAGTGTGTGCTTCTGGGATAATATGAGAAAGAAATTAGGCCCAGCACAATTACAGTCCCTTTAAATGGGTTTCACAAGGGGAAAATTTCCTTCCTATGTATTCTCTACTATACACTTGTACAAGAAATCATCTGGCCTACAACATTACCTCTTTGATTTCTACACAATATCTGTCCATATCCCACTTTATCTCAAATCAGTGGTTTCCACATTTAAAAGCCAATAAAACCTTTATCAATTTAAACTTTAAAGCTCTCAAACTATTTCAGGCATGAACAAAATATTCGATAAGCATTACCATAAATGGTTGGGTGCCAGCAAACACAGCTAACTGTTCTATGCTTCAGATAGTGCAGGTCTGTAAACGATTGGTATTCCTTAAGGTAAGCATCTGACTTGCCACCAAAGGCACTTTCATCTTCTGCTAATGCTTTCCAGTCATCAAAAAAGGCATTCATTATTTCATTTTGCTGCAATGCTATTTCCACTCTGTTATGAAAATAATAGTTAACATTTTCAAAAATGTCAGATGTGAATATTCAGTGGGATAATTACCCACTAATTCAATAGAGAGACATCTTTCATTTAAAAATTATGACCACGTCCCCCAAAGTGGTATGCACATGGTTACCCTGTGCTGGTCAGTCCTCTCAAGAGAGCCCTTCACATTCAAATACACTTAAAAAAAAATAGACGTACTGTGCTATCACTTCACTTGTGTGTACTCAGATTTGATTTCAGTGGGCTTAGATTAGGCTCTTCAAGTTTACTGCCCAATCCTAGAACCCCAAGGATTTCAGTGGACTCCTCAAGTGAGTAAGAGCTGTAGAACTGGGCCCTCACAGTTTATAGTTCCTCCTTCTACTTAATCCAGCAGAGGAGTCCTAGGGCCACATCCTCAGTTGATATAAATAGATGTAGCTCCCTGACTTTAATAGAGCTATGTCCATTTACACCTGCTGAGGATCTGGGCCATAATTTTTTGTTTGCCCATGAAAATGAATTTGTCATGAACTGTATTACTTGTTCCCATGTAAATGAATGTGATGTCACAAACCTATTACAGTATCAAGAAAGAAGAAAAATAGGCTAGGAAGATGCAGAATATAGAAACTTAGGAACTGCACTACTTGGACCAGACCACTGGTCCATCTAGAGCAGTATTCTGTCTCTGACAGCGGCCAATATCTTCAGAGGAAGGTGTTAAAGTCACTTTATTGGACAAGTATGCAATAGCATTACTATGATGGAAGTACTTCAATAATTAGCAAAAGTGACAGTGTAGAGCAGTGGTGGGCAACCTGTGGCCCGTGGAGTATGGAAAAGCACATGGACTGAGTGAGACCTATACTTTAAATTTCAGATGGTTCAAAGTTTCTGTCAGTAAGAAAGTTTTTAATTGTGGCTTAACAGCTGACTAACTTGTTTTAGAGATTTGAAACCATCTTCCACAAAGCACAACAGAACAGCATGGATTGGAGACACATGCATCAGAGAATTCAGTTTTTGTCTTGATTTTAAAACTAACAGTTATAAACCTAAAAAGAAAAGGAGTACTTGTGGCACCTTAGAGACTAACCAATTTATTTGAGCATGAGCTTTCGTGAGCTACAGCTCACACTCTGAAACCAGTTATAAACCTAAGTATATCGTGACACCTCTTGTATAGTTGTGTACACCGCTTTACTGAAGGTAAACTTTAATGCATATTGTTGCAACATTTTTACCTTAAAAGCACTGAGATAATAAATTCTTTCAGATCCTCAGATGACAAACACAGCTCTTTTTCTTCATCTGAGAACTCTCTAGGAAAATACTGTGTGGCTGCATTTCTTGGATAGGTCCTAAGCAATTTGGAACAAATTTTAACACAGGTAAGTTTGAAAGAATTTTTTTTTAAAGAAGCCTTATGATATATTAAAAAATGGAAAGCTAACTATGTTAATTTTTTGCTAATGTTGTTAAGGTGATTTGGGTTGATACGACTTTGGAAGTGGGGGAGACTTAGATGCACAGTATTTGAAAAGGTGCTCTCAGAGGACCTGACTCTGCTCTCACACGGGATTTACAACTGTGTAACTCCATTGACTCCAATGAGTTATTCCTGGTTTACCTTACTGTTAGTGAGCTCAGAATCGGGACATAAATTAATAAATAATAATGAAGGGATTGTTTCCCTTTATAATTACTAAAAACTGTTAAATCAATTTCAAACTTACCACTTTGTTTGAGTACTCATTTCCCTTACTTTTGGAACGACTTGTGTACCAACATCTTTTTCAAGTTTCTTAATGATGAAATTTTTATCCTGATAGGATGTACATTCAATGTAGCCATCTTTTACACTTGAAGCATTTCTATCAGTAAATTTGACCTTTGAACCAAACTCTCTGCGCACTCGAGAAATCATATATTTAATCTGCAATACACCCAAAAGAAGAGATTTTCTGAAGTAACCACAGGAAAAATATTCTTGAAAGGCAAGTCCTTTAAAACAGCGAGATTCAGAGATCTGCAAGGTCACTTCTGGTGGTCACTTGTAAACAGAGTTCACAAACATTTATAGATTTTGAAATTCTGTACCTCTCTCATGAGCCCAAATTACCAATAAGTGTGTGTCATCATATATTTTTATCTTTCTAAATTGTACAGGACTTCTGAATATTTTTAAAATTATTCCTAGCACTGAAAGGGATAATCCTGTTACTCTGAGATATCAAAATTGTCCATTTGCCCAAGTAACTACTTCACTTCTCTCTGGGTGAAATTTACTCTGCTCTGACAGCCACCACAAGGACTATATGCCACGTAAGCCAAATGCTATGTCAGACAGCAGATTCCAGAACAAACGGAAGAGAATACTGCATCCCATTTAAACTACATGGAGAATTTGGATTTCCCAGAGGTTAATGGGAGTTTTTCCATTGACTTGTTTGGAGCAGGATTGGGACCTTAAGTCAGTAGAAAATAATTACAATTATCTAAATTGTAATTATTTGGCAAAGATATCAAAACTACCACCCCAAACCTTACGAATGGTGATGGGGATACTTAATGGCCAAAAGTGGCCATGACTTCTGTTTTACATCTCCAGCAGCAGAGTGCCTTCATTACAGTCTAGGGCACTGGATCATGTATGGACTTAAATGGAAAAGGAAAACATCAGAATCAGAAACATCAGAACATCAGAAGTTCCTACAGAACTTTCAGTTTTTCTTAGAGGTCTAGTTAGTTCCAACTCTCCTTTGCTGTGATGTCTGACAAGATCGCAATCAAAATTGGGATGACCACAAGAATTTCAGGCATAACTCTAAATTTTCTGCCTTCTGTTCATTTAAGGAACTTCTTTAATTTTATTTTAACAGAGAATTTGTGAGATTATGATTTTGATTGAATTATATCTATAATTTCTGACCTTTCTAAGAGATTCATTAACCGATTCTTCTTCAATTTCCTTTTCACTGCCAAGGGAGACCCAAGGTTTGCGGACAGGAGGCTTATAAACGTATTCCTCTGTTGTTCCTTCTTTAGTCTCTCCTTCTTCTTCCACTGGCTCTGGAGGCTGTAAGACAAAGTAATTGCAAAGAAGATATTTATAGTTTTTCACATATAAACATAAATATATTATTTAAATGTAGATACCAAATTCAGTGTTGCCAATTCTTATTCACACAAATAGTCTCAATGTAGTCAATCCGGCTACTCACAGGAGTAAGGGTTTGGAGGATTAGGCCCTGTCCTTTTAGCAATGAATTTTCCAATTTTCCATAAAGGGACACTGTCAATCTGAAAGCAAGTCAGTTTTTTAAAAACAAGTTTAAAGTAGTTTCATGTACTCCACCTGCTCCCGAGTCCACTGTAACTAGCTAACAGAATGTTGGAAATCGTTAGGAAAGGGATAGATAATAAGACAGAAAATATCACATTGCCTCTATATAAATCCATGGTACACCCACATCTTGAATACTGCATGCAGATGTGGTTACCCATCTCAAAAAAGATATATTGGAACTGGAAAAGGTACAGCAAAATGATTAGGAGTATGGAACAGCTTCCATATGAGAAGAGGTTAATAAGACTTGGACTTTTCAGCTTGGAAAAGAGGAGACTAAGGGGGGATATGATAGAGGTATATAAAATCATGAGTGGTGTGGAGAAAGTGAATAAGGAAAAGTTTATTTACTTGTTCCCATAATATAAGAACTAAGGGCCACCAAATGAAATTAATGGGCAGCAGGTTTAAAACAAACAAAAGGAAGTATTTCTTCACACAACACGGTCAACATGTAGAACTCTTAGCCAGAGGATGTTGTGAAGGCCCAGACTACAACAGGGTTCAAAACAGAACTAGATAAATTCATGGCGGATAGGTCCATCAATGGCTATTAGCCAGGATGGCAGGGCTGGTGTCCCTAGCCTCTGTTTGCCAGAAGCTGGGAATGGGAAACAGGGGATGGATCACTTGATGATACCTGTTCTGTTCATTCCCTCTGAAGCACCTGGCACTGGTCACTTTTGGAAGACACGATACTGTGGTAGGTGGACCTTTGGTTTGACTCAGTATGGCCATTCTTATGTACAATCACTATTTTATTTTCTATTAAAATGCTTCCCCCCCCCCCGCCTGCTGGTGTGTGACAGATGCACCCGAACAAAAGGAGAAGATGACTAAGGCCCTCACTCTGCAGCTTGCTGCACTTGGAAGGTCACAGGGGTCCACACAGTGGTGCTCCAGTGCACGGTGCATTGCAGAAGTGAGACCTAACTGATTAAGGTTCCAGTCCTGCAAACACTTAAGCATGTCAGTAATCTCAGGAAAATAAATAGGCCTACTGAAATCACATGTACAAATATTTGCAAAACAGGGTCTCAATGACTATATAAAAAATGTTTGCAAATGTACAAAATGAAAATAAGAAGCACATTTTTCTCTAATTTTTCAACTATAGTAATTTTGTGTGCTCCTTGTAACAACAGTAGAAAAAAAATCAAAACCAAATGTGACTTTCAGTTACAAGGTTAATGTTTTCCTCTAATGTTTACAAATATATAAATCTGGAGTTATTTTTGCAAGTACAGTTTGTTGAATAGAGTGTCTTCCTTTGAAGAGCCTATTAATCTCTTACTGAAATGTGTCTAATCTGGAAAACTAGAGATTTTGCACATGTGATTAGCAGTTTTATGAGAAATGGTACTCGTGACACCAATCAAGTCAGTGGCAAAAATCCCATTGACAATGGAGTTGGGATTTCACCCAAACACTTTTTCAGTATAAATTATAGGTATATTTTGCATGTTCAGACTAACTTCAAGGGTAAAATTCTTGGAATTCGAGTGCTTTATTTATAAGTGTGTTCAATACAGATCTTCTTTTCATGTCATTGAAGAAGATCTGTGTCAATGACATAAAAAGAAGAATCAGACTAGCCACTAATGCATTCCTAAAACTCTGTAATATCTGGAAGGCTGAAGACATTTCAATAAAAATTAAAATCAGTGTATACTAGACAAGTGTGTTGATATTGCAGTATGGGTTGGAATGTTGGAGCATGAGGAAAGCTGATGAACATGAGATATTGACTGTAGAAATGAACTAGCAGAGAGGAATACTGAGATAGTCAAGACTGCAGAAAATAAAAAATTATGTGATAAAAACATGGCAAGAAATAATGCTGTTACAGAAGAGTCAAGAAAGACAACTGTAATGGTTTGAACATGTGTCAAAAATGAACCCAGAAAGGATACAAATATGTTGATATGTACCAGAGTGCAAGCAACTAGAAAGGGAGGAAAACCGAGGACGTATTAGATAAACACAGAACAAAAATATTTAAAGATGAATGAGGCTGTGAAGCTGATACAAAGTGATGGAAAAACTTCATTCGGCCCCATTGTCGCTGCTGAGCTGATGGATGAGAATTAAAGAGAAAGAGAAGAAGAGACAATACACATCTCAAAGTGTGCGTGTGTGTGTGTCTAGCACTGTGAGTTATTTTAAGTATGTGAAATAATGTGAAGGTGTGTTTGAATTTTCTTACATTTAAAAAGCTTTCCTTGGCCTCTTCAGTTGCAACAAGATAAAAGTTCTGTCCATATTTGAACTCTGTATCTAAAACTACCAGAAGTTCTTCCCCTGGATATTCCTGCATGAATAAGAACAGAAAGGTTTCATATATTCCACTTCCAATTACAACTGATATATTAATCTAAGATCTGTAAAATTGTGAATTAGACATTTAAGTCGTCAATACCAGAAAACACAATCCTGAAGAAAAAACAATTCTTAAATGCAAAGAACTGTGACTATTTACTGGAAAGCGGAAAGCAAGTAATGTGCAAAAAAAAGCTTGATCCTATGCACATTGAAGTCAATGGCAAAGTTATCAATAACTTTAGTGGTGGATGATCAGGGTCAGAATTTGCAAAAATTTACAAGTACAGAGGGCTATTTTGCCCTCACGTGTGTGTGTACAGATCTCATGGACTTCAGTGAAAATTTCAAAGCCATATCCAAAGGCATACATAGATTTATTTCTATTTTGTAATATACTAATATTTATTCCCTTTTAAATTTCTTTTTAAGGATTACATATTAATATGAAAAATAGAAATGAAAATACATTTTCCTAGAGTAGTCACAGATGGACAGATGAGGATGGGCCTTACCACTGAAAGTACATGGTATGAGGGTTTTAAGTTTTAAAGTGAAAATGAAAGGAGTTACGTACTAGGACTATTTTTTTGACTGGGTGGAAATCGGAGACTGCAGCTCTTGTCTTCATGTCCTGAATTATGTCCTCTTTTTTCAGAAGTTTGTAAGGTTTTTCTTCTGTGACATCTTCATTAATTCGACAATTTAAAATTTCTTGTGTCTTTTGAGTGAAAACTAATGGAAAGATCTCTGGGTGGCCTAGAAAAGGTAAGGCAAAGTTGGAGGGTGAACAAAAATAGTGTTTTCCTTGAAAGGTTGACAGTGTAAGAGATATGTCCTTAACAGTTCTAGATCTTTCTTACGGCTAGCAACATGAAACCTTTGAATCTCTGTACTTAAAGTTTTTGGTACATTTGGTGGCATAGACTGTAAATTCAATATGAAAAGATAACATTGTCTTCATGTTGTAAAAGCCTGCGCCTAACACATTTTGCATAATCAATATATGTTATTTAAAATAAAATATTTCAAGAAAACAGAAGAATAAATTCACAGTCATCCTATGCTATACTAAGGCAGAAGTTTTGTGCTAGGAGTTGGCTGTGTGGATGGCAAAGAAACATTTACTTGCTGCTAATCTAGCATTCACAAAATAATGATCAGCTGATTTCTTTAACGTGGTGGATAGCCTGGAAAATCTAAGTTATGTCTATTCTTTGGCTGAAGAGAATCCTTCCTGGAGTGTGGAAATCTTGTATCACTGTGGATAAAATTTACAGTATTCAGACCAAAACATCTGCATCTATAAAACTACAGGAATATATGGAGGGGACAAGTGCTCAGTATTTTCTGCTTGAGTTTTGTTCAATGGTGCTCAGTAATATGCTGGGGAAACTTCATTCCACAACCTGCACTTTGGTCTTATTTCTAGCTAGTGATGGCCAGTAGGGAAATACTGGTCCTTTGCTACAGGAGATGGCCAATCTACCTTGAAAGAGAACAGAGGACCAAGTGCTCTTAAGGAAGCATGCATATGTCCTCTGATCAAAACCCAGCTCTAGATGCTGATAATGTGCGTAATTAGTGACTGTATCTAATTGTTAATGTTTGTTTGAGATTATTGAAAAGGTTGCAGCAAGACAACTCATAGTATCTTGATGCCTCTGACTTCCTAAACCCTTGTCATTCAGGGCTTTGACTATTATATTTGCATTGGTCAATGGCCTTCAGGAAGTGGATAAAGACAGGGTGTCCATACTGATATTGTCAGATTTGCTAGCAGTCTTTGCTACAGTTAATTATGAGGTTTTGTTAACTCATGTGAAGACCAAACTGGGTTTAGACAGAGCTGCTATGTGCTAGCTTCATGCACCCAGTGTTAGGCAATTGCTTTTCTGTCTCATGGGTTCTCACATGGGGTGCTGCAGACTTCCTCTCTGTCACCTCATACATCTTGTTCAGTGTGCATGAGGCCATTAGGAGGGTTACTGAAGAGGCATGGATTGAAATGCTTTTGATATACTTAATGATTGCCAGCTCTATGGCCCTGACTGAGGAAAGTCCATGAGTCCATCCCTATTCAGGACAGCAATTAAGCCCATGCTTAACTTTAAGCACAGGTTTATGTACTGTCCTGAACAGGGATGCTTTTCTAAATCAGGACCCTCATCTCCATTTCATCCTGTCTAGTGTGCAGTTGAGTCTATTTCTCAGTTACTGGGTGAGATTGAAGCATGATAGCTCAGTGGTTTGAGCATTGGCCTGCTAAACCCAGGGTTATGAGTTCAATCCCTGAGGGGGCCATTTGGGATCTGGGGCAAAAATTGGGGATTGGTCCTGCTTTGAGCAGGGGGTTGGACTAGATGACCTCCTGAGGTCCCTTCCAACCCTGATATTCTATGATTCTATGAATAAGAGCAAACTGATTGAGACTCAAACCAGGTAAAACTGAGGTGGCAATGACTGGCCAAGGGAGACAACCAGAGCATATGACAAAGATTATATCTGCCCCTTTGATTGAGAGTATGTAGCCATCATTTGTTACTAAAGTGTGAATCTTGTTAGGTTCCTATCTGCTTTTAGATAATCAAAGAACATTGACTAGAACTCTGACTGTATCTTCAAAGCCAACCTTGACACTACAATCTATGCCTTTGTTATTTCTAGATAGGATGACTGTAGTAAGTTCTACATGGGATGGGGCTACACCTTACATCCATTCAAAAGCTGAAGCTAATGTAGAATATGGTGGACCCACTTGTTAGGTGATGTAGCTCACCATGAGTATGAGACACCAGGAGTGCCTCCAGAAATTGACATGGTACGCACTGGTAATCCCTGTGGAGCCATCCCCACTGCTGCCACTGGCCCCAGCATCTAGCCCACCAAGTGTGCACCATGCTCAGCCCCTACCTTCCAGCCCAGGTGTAGTGTCATTCCCCGTCCTTGAGAGGGAGGGGACACAAGCTTCTGGAAGTGGGACAAAGCCAGACAAGCCCCTGCGGGGAGCCCTGGTATAGGAGCCAGCCGCATGGAAGCAGCAAGAAGGAGCAGCACTGGCTGGTCCACTGCCCAGTGTGCTCACTCAGGTTTGGCCCCCTGACCCCGTGCACCAGGTTGCAGTGCCAGTCACTCAGTTTTGGCCTCATCACTCTACGTGTCAGAATGGAGGGCCAGAGGGGCCAAATCTGCTGCTTCTTGCTGCTGCCAATCGAATGCAAGGGCACTGTTGTGCGACACCGGTGCTTCCTGAATCGCATTGTCTGCTTGTTGGCTTTGGATGGAATGTAAATAGTTGGTTATAACCTATAAAGGCCTAATTGGTTTGAGCCTTGCCTATTTGAGAGACCTCCTTTTTCGCCATGCAATACTGCCATAGTTGCAGACTACAAAGGCATTCAAGCTGGATCTCTCCTAACTTATTAGAATGGGAGCTGTTGAGAGGACATTCTTCGTAGAGAACCGTAAGCTTTGATCTGAAATAGTTCACATCTGCTGACCTTAAGGGCAAGCTGCAAAATGCTTCTTTTCAACTACTCTGAAACCTGCTTAGAGAATGGAGGTTTCTGGGGACCTGAAGGGCCTGGTGGGTTTTGTTATGTTCTTGGTGGCTGGGTGGAGTTTTTTTGAGATTTGCTGGTGTTTCAGAGTTTTTTTATTTCCTGTTATATGGTATATTTTGTCAGGATAATCTAGACCTGGAGCAGGCATCTTTTTGTCTATTTTAAGATGAAGTAGGTAAATCTAAAATAGGGATCTTGATCAGCTTGGTAAACATGCTTTGAGAAGTCAACTCAAACCTAATCCTTTTAGAACTGACAAAACAATAAATCCTTTTTAATCTCTATCATCCAGGAAGCTAAATTTCCCAATAGGCCTATAATTTAATATGTAATATTTGATAAATCCCACATTTATCCTTTAAACCCTTTCACTGCAGGTCCTCCACTGCATCTGCTCTGCTGCAGTCATCCACTGAAATCAGTGGAATACTAAGCCATTCCTACCTATACTCTGCAATATGAAAGATGTGTTCTACCTGGACTTCCTGGCTATTACACAACATTGTGCAGTATGCATACAACACACACACACACACACACACACACACACACACAATTCCTGTGTCTATTTGCTTCACAAGTGCTAATTAACATTTCACTGCTTTCCTTTTCAATATCGCTTATATTTTAAGGACTTATGTTTGTGTGAGTTTCCAAGAGTATCTGTGTTCTCCCTGTCAGGCACCTTATTCCAGTGACAACCCCAACCCACCTTCAGGATGAGGAGGCCAGGACATGAATCCTTCTTTGGCCTAGCATTTTGGCTATAGGAGCCAACTACGAAGAAGCAACTTGAGAAGTTTACTCCTCCTAAAGAACTGAGCATGTTGTTCTGTAGCACTCTCAGCCCCTGCTGCCCCAGGGAGTGAAGGATGTGGTCAGGACACAGACCCACTCAACCCTAGTACACAGCTGCAATGCTACAAATACAGCCAAGATTTTGATATGTCATGGTTGACAGGCCCAGGAAATTACATTTCCTCTTGCAAAGCATCTCTCTGAGAAGAAAATTACCACCCGTTCAGCATGAGGACTGCAACAGTGCTAAAATCCCCAGTTGCTCTACTGAGGAACTTTCCATCTAACAACATCATGGACAGGCACATGCATGTCATGCCTTCCCTGCACTCCCTTTGCCAGCTCTGTTCCTGTGAGCCACCAGGACAAAAATCCACATCTCTATAGTGCACTGATAACAGGATTTTCATCCATTTTAATCGCCAGTTGGCTCACAAGAATGGAATGGACAGGGGGAGCAGAGGGACAGCACAACATGCATGTGTATCAGTCCTCACAATTTGTTGCTTGGGGTGTCCAGGACTGATGCCCAGGGTGCAACTAACCGGATTGGTACCCAGAGGAAAATCTATATAACTTTCCTATCCCTACCCATAATATTTTTGGAATCCCCTTATTGTGGAAATTATCAGAAAGGAGGCGAAGATTCCCCCCATCTGATAGAAAAGTGAAAGGAAACCCAAGCAATTAGTCAGGGAATTCTCTCTATGTATCAAAAGGTCCTAACTGAGAATAATGGTGATTTTTCAGATAGCTCATCTAATAAAACAGCTGTACTGCACTCAAATGGTAACAGATGATTTAAAAAACAAAAAGCTTGAACCAGCTGCAAAATATCTTTTCCTTCAGTGTTAACAGAAAAACATTTTCTTAACCTGATGCAGTTTCAGTGTCACATGGAACATAATGAATGTCCATTTAAAATTTATGAAAACTACTCTAGACAGAACACTAGGGAATATACTGTGACAACTGTCCTGCATCAGCAGAGCAGGCTGGATGACTTAAAATGTCTTTTCCACCGCTTATGTCTATGAGACTAAATTAAAAATTAAAAGCAATGACCAGAATAATAGGTTATATCATAACATCTCTTTGCCTGAAGGATTCCAGTCCAAATCATAATACAAAACTAAGAGCTGATCCTGAAATTCTTCCTCATATCAGTAATTTTGCCAGCTGATGCTTTCCTGAGTAAAAGTTTTTAGCATCAAGGCAAAATTTTTCGATTGTTAACTCTTCTGACTAATGTCTTCCTATATGACTATACCGTGCCTCACACATTTTGGATGCTACTGAAATATAAAAAAATATAAATAATGTATCAAAGACCTATAAAATGGGTCATGGCGGTAAACAGGTACTATCAGCATGACTTTGGAATGGTGAAATTATTCATGAGTAGTAAAGGTACAAATAAATTATGCAGCTCAACCTCAGTGAATGCCAATGAAACCCTTCTATTACCGCACACCACAAATGTTGTACCATTTGTTTGGAAGAGCCTTGTATTGTAGTGGTGGACTTTTAGAAGAGTCTTAGTTTTGGGGACATTGGTTCCTGTTTGTTTATTGTACTATTATAATGTCCGTGCCCACAGTTCACACTTTAACCTGATACTACTATCCTGAGGGGCCAAACAAACCCTAAAGAGCAAAGGGAATTTTGCTAGTTTTATGCTAAGGAGTTAAGAACCAGGAATGAGACTCCTGCACAGATAGTATGTTTAGACAATACGATCTTTTGCATTTCCAACTACTATAATTCTGTATAAACTGAGTCATAAGGATATCATTTTTTTCTTCTATTGTTCGCCACTAGGTGGAGCTACAATTCTTATTTGTTTCTCTTGACGACTTTCCAGGAACATCATAAACATAACATTGATATCATCTGAAAGACGAGACATATTCTGTCTTTATTAAAAGCAGAGACAATTTACCCAAGTTTAGGTGAAACTTCTAAGACTGTGTAATTTTACCTCCATCCATCAGCACACAGTACAGAATAATATCATGCTATTCGGGGGAAAGGAGTGATTTATGTCTTTTTTTATAAAATCCTCTGATGAGTATATTCTGATTTGCCTCAGATGTCTCAGGTGTGCAACTGCTTTTAGCCATGAAAGCCGCACCAATAAATGCCAATACATCCAACTGAGAATGTAACCTATTGAGCCTGACGGGGTAGTCTTTTCTCAGGCAAATTTTCAATTGAGGTCAAGAACTGCAAAATCTGTCCAAAAGAATGCATAACAAGAGGGTTCTAGAAAGGCGTGAAAAATCCTACAATATTTAAGACAAGTGAATATATCTAGACTTAACTTATTAAAAACAAAAATTGCACTCCTCTTACTCAATATCCAAGGGTAAAAATATCCACTAGGGAAGAAGTGGTTGACATCATGTGAATTCTTTTAGAAGTTTTTAAATGGCAATTGGAATTTCTGTGCCTAATTCTGCAAGCCACTCCCTTGCTGAAACAGTCTCCTACTTGTGGTGCTGGTAATGGTAGACCCCAATGAAATGGACTGTAAATCAGTTTCCAACCAGATTTAAGAATGGTTTAACAATGATTGAAGGAAATCTAAATATTTGGTTTAAATATTGAAGTTTTTCTTTTGACTGCAGGTAATTTACAATAATATCATCCTGTAAATACACTTCACCTCCCCTTCAGTACACAGCTCTCTTCAGCACAAGCTGCCGGCCTCCTCTTTTCAACTCCCGATAACACAGGCTTCTAGGTTGGGAAAGCTATTCCTATCCGACAGTCCACACCAAGCTGCCTGCTAATCAGACAGTTGTACTTTACTAGTTAGTTCAGGCAGATGTACTCTTTCATAATTCTTTCTCATCCACAGCAAACTTTTCTTCATCTTTCCTTATTCTTCTACATTATTAACCTCAGTGATTATGGATGCTGTAAAATATTCTAAAATTGGTACTGTAAATCCCGATCAATAATGGAACTTACCTATGCTAGCCATAGATATGTCAACTTCCTCATCTTTTTTACCTGAAATACAATAACATGATGTTAAGTTGGCATTTAAAAAATTCTAATACATTAGTTATCCTTGTACAATCTTTAATTTGATAGGGTAACATACACAAGTGGCAACACATTCTTTATAATGCATAAAATCTAACCTGTGATGAGGCAGCACAATACACTTTCTATTCAACTTAGATTTTATGAAAGAAACTACCGAATCCTATTAGAATGAGTGTCTGAATGTGTTTTAAGGAGGCATTGATATTTCTTTGAATTTTGAGAGAAATATAAAATTCATGTTTATTGTGAACAGGTGCTCAAGACACCAAAGAGGAAATCTCCCACCTTGTGGCACAAATGCAGTCACTACACTCTACCTGATAGCATCCCCTGGGCAACTTGCCACGCAGAAATGGTCCTGACTGAATGGAATGGTAAATGGTCAGGTCCCCCTAAATGCTTTGATCAGTAGAGCTAGTTGGTATTCAGAGGAGCAGATGTTGCATCTTTCTAAAGAGTGGTGGAGTGGGTACGGAGCTCCAGGGGTCATTGGGTATCCCTGAGCTTATGTGATGGTGTACAAACCCTACAATGAGTCAGGACAGGAAGGGATTAATGGTCTGGCATTCAGTCTGCTCTGCTGCGCAGCACTCACTAGACAGTGATTGGGAGGTGTGACAGGGTTTGCATACCCTGCACTAGGCAAGAAAGAGTTAACCCCACATGATGGGCATGCTCCAACTGCTGCCTGAGTATAAAAGGGAGCAGCCCAGCTCATTCTAGGCTGACCACCGAGGAGAGAGGATACTTGGTGGAGGCTCCTGCCCAAGAGCCACTTCAGCACTTGACTGAAGAAGCCAGAGATCCCAAGGACCAGACCAGAGACATGTAGACACAGCTATGTTGACAGAAGAGTGCTTCTGCCAGCATAGCTAATGCTGTTTGGGGAGTGGTGTTCCTACTCCAGTTGGAAAACCCCTTCTGTTGGTGTGTGCTGTGTCTACATTGGAGAGTAGGTCAGCATATGCTGATGTAGCTGTGCTGGCATAGGCTCTGAGGTGTAGACATAGCCCCAGGCAGATGGCCAGAAGGAGGACTGGGGAATAGCTTTGTTCAGTGTTACTTTGTGAGTTCTGTGTCTGAATAACAAGTGAAGCCCTGAAAAAAAGGCCCTGATCTAGACTTTGGCTGTGGTTTCAGTCCTTCCTGGGCTGGGGACATAGGCCTCCAGTCTACACTCGTGAACTGACCCTGGTCCATACCTAGCCTGGGGTGCTGACCTGTTGTTGATAATATTGATAATTGTTTTAACTGAAGAGGTTTTTATTGATACCATTCACTGAGGTGTGTTTCCTTTCTGGTTTCTGCTGTGATCAGTTGGCCCTCTCCAGACATGATTCCAGCCCAGCTCCCCTTAGAGCAGAGCAGCAGCGCACGGAGTCCAATTTCGACGTCACCTTGATAGCACATTGTGACCTCTTGGGTGAATTTGCCTAAACCACTGAAGAAACTCATTCCTTACAATACACAGGAGAGCCTCACTAACCTGCACTTTGCTAACTCTCTCTCCCCACTTCTCAGCTGAGTTAAAATACCAGAGCACTACAGTAAAGTTACATGTTATTACAGTGAGACTTCATAATATTTTTTAAAAATGATAGTACATTGATGGTGTTCACTATTAAATATTCAACACTGAACATTTTCTGCACTTTGGCACCTGAGATACCTCAGTATTTTCCTGTACTTAAACCTCTGTCTTCATTGTAAAGCAATAATAATCAATCACACTTAGCTCTCATATGCTTTTCATTGGTAGATCTCAAAATGCATTACAACGAGATAAGCATCATTATCCCCACATTATAGTTGGGGAAACTGAGTCAGAGAGCGGTCATGTTACATGGCTAAGGTCACCCTCAGCCCAGTGGCAGAGCTGGGAATAGAAAATAGGTTGTTTGAGTCCCAGTCCAGTGCTCTATCCAGTAGGCCACATAGTATATCTAAACTATATTTTTCTAAATGAATATAGTCAATTGTGTGATGTAACATCCATGGTGCTTGTGTTTTGATCACTTACTTGCTAATTCACAAAATTGTAGTAATTCATAACAGGTCTCCCAGTCATTGGTGCAAATTAGTGAGTTTTAATGTTGTAACATTTAGCCCAAGCAATGTAAGTAGCTGCCATGTAAATCTAGGCAACATCTTTCTTTACCGCTGTAGTATTATACATACCAAGCTGTTTTCGCTTGCCTTTGGCTGATCCTTTAGCTTTGGTTTGTTCTTTAATTTTAAGTTTCTTTACTGAATCTTTGGGACTTAGTTCAGAGGTCTTGCTGGATTTTGGACTTTCTAACATTTTTCAGATTTCTGTCTGGAAAGATATTATATATAGCATTAATATATTGTAATCAAAGGGTCAAGTTTGCCGCTGGCCAAAATGAGAATTTTGGCCAAGGCTTACATTTATACAGCTTATCATTAAAGTCTTTTTCGTCCATGTCTAAAGGCACTGTCCAAACATTTATGTCCCAAACTTACTGTACTTTTGACGTGGCATCTTATAGTTGGAAAGTGCTGCTGCTTCTGTTTTAGGGCATGTCCACACAGCACAGCAATGTGCGCTAGAGGGGTGTGATTTTTTAAAGCACACCAGTGTGCTGTGCACTAACTGGCAGTAAAAATTCCATAGTGCATTAAGGTAGGGCGGTCACTAGGGAACTTTTAATGTGCGCCAGGAGCGTCTATATTGGCCAGTTAGCGTGCAACGCAGTACAGTTTAGAAATTATATCCTCTCGTGCACACTGCTATGCTGTGTAGACAAGCCCTTCGTAGACTAGTTATAATATTGATTGTTCCAGGGCTGAATAATTAAAAAGGTAAATAACAAGGTGAGAGTAGTGAAGTACCGGGGGTAGCTGTATTAGACTGTATCCACAAAAACAACAAGGAGTCCAATGGCACCTTAAAGACTAACAGATTTATTTGGGCATAAGCTTTCGTGGGTAAAAAAACACTTCTTCAGATGCATGGTGTGAAAATTACAGATGCAGGCGTTAAATACTGACATATGAAGAGAAGGGAGTTAACTCACAAGTGGAGAACCATTGTTGACAGGGCCAGTTTGATCAGGGTGGATGTAATCCACTCCCAATAATTGATGAGGAGGTGTCAATTCCAGGAGAGGCAAAGCTGCTTTTGTAATGAGCTAGCCACTCCCAGTTCCTATTCAAGCCCAAATTAATGGTATTAAATTTGCAAATGAATTTTAGTTCTGCAGTTTCTCTTTGAAGTCTGTTTCTGACATTTTTTTGTTCAAGTATAGCTACTTTTAAGTCTGTTACAGAACGTCCAGGAAGATTGAAGTGTTCTCCTTCTGGCTTTTGTATGTTACCGTTTCTGATGTCCGATTTGTGTCCATTTATTCTTTTACGTAGGGACTGTCCGGTTTGGCCAAAGTACATGGCAGAGGAGCATTGCTGGCACATGATGGCATATATCACATTAGTAGACGTGCAGGTGAATGAGCCTCTGATGCTGTGGCTGATGTGGTTGGGTCCTCTGACGGTGTCGCTAGAGTAGATATGGGGACAGAGCAGGCAATGAGGTTTGCTACAGGGACTACATCCATCTTGACTGAATTGGCCCTGTCAACGCTGGTTCTCCACTTGTGAGGTAACTCCCCTCTCTTCATATGTCCGTATATAATGCCTGCATCTGTAATTTTCACGCCATGCATCTGAAGAAGTGGTTTTTTACCCACGAAAGCTTATGCCCAAATAAATCTGTTAGTCTTTAAGATGCCACCAGACTCCTTATTGTTATGGTGAGAGTAGGTTTCACACACAAACAAAGCTGTGTACTTTTGCTACAGTCTTCATGGAACATGTGGAGTACCATTATTTGTCCCGGTGTTTTTAAACATAGGCAGGAGCATAGCTGCACACAGCATTTTTGTCAGAAGTAATGTACAGAGTATTACCAAAGAGATATTTATCTGTATTTTTACTCTAACTAGAATCTGTTGGTGCTACTATCTCAACACAGCTCAAAATGAATAAAACTGTGCTACCTACAGTTTTCAGTGTCTCACTCCTTCCTCTCACCTAAACTTCTTGAAGACAGGCAACAATCATCTTTGAAGGATTCCAGTTCCACGGGAGCAAATTCCAGTACAGTGAAAATAATATCAGAGAGGATACAATGACCAGTTAAATGATATGCCATTCCCTGACCACAGTTTTCTTTATCACAGAGGAAAAGTAGGGATTTGTAAATATTCATCATTTTTTCCTCTTTGTCAATTAACAGTCCATGGCATTTCAATTGCTGGACAGTGCCAGCGCTGTTTTCCTTCAGTCTAGCCTGGGACCTCAACCTTAAAATATCCACAAATCCCACATGAGGCTGAATGTGGGAAAAAGCTGTAGGCCCAGATTCTGTTCTCATTCCCACCACTGCAAATCCAGAGTAATTGGCCACTTGCCTCAACTGACTTTTTAGTTTGACACCATTAAGGGCAAACTTGAACAACTGTACAATTAGTTACAACATACAGTCACACACATTTCTTCTTTGACTTCATTATTCTCTACACACATCTGGAGGCTCAACCAGTGGCTGTCTGGCTTATTTCATTCTCCTTCTTCCCTCCCACTTCTCCCTCTCAAAGGATAGGAGAGAGGGTTTAGGAAAGAAGTATACAGGCTCTTTTTTTCTGCTTCAGAGTGGTCACCATAGTCATAATACATAAGAATCTCAAGAAAACAGCTTTCTGCTTCTGCCTTCTTTTCCACTGAAATAGTCCAACTTTTCATCTGTATAATGAAAATTATTATAATATTAAAAACCAATTAGAATAGCAGAGATCACAGGTTGTAAGAAGGGTCTATTCTGCTTGATATAAACGTAAAATCCTGCCAGCAGTATGGGCCAGACAAGACAAGACCAAACAAAAACGTGAAACACAGTTGCAGCACCATCATGTGGAGAATATACACCTAGCATCCAATTAACTAGCAATTTTTACAACCAGATTGGTCCAGGCTTTCTTAGGTCAGATATTATTAGTGAACAACCAGAAGATTTAAGCATAAGTAACGAAGGCTGGAGTGGCAGTTGCATTGTGCCACAAGTCTCTATAATGTGGGCATACAAATTTGAAACTAGTTTTTAGGAATGTAAACTAATTGGGGCAAGGACCATATTGTCATAAGTGGTTGCACAGCACCTAGTATATTTTGGGCGTTACCACAATAGTAATAGTAATAAAAGAAAGGCCATGCACTCGTATCATGGCCTGCCCCATGATATAACACTTATTACCAGAGAATCACTGATGAGCCCTAAAGGGAGGTCCCTCCAGCATCCTTTGGACAGATACCATATTCACCACAAAGGACCTGAGACTGAAGGTAGGTGAGATTTAAATAAAACAAAACAATACCAGAGAATCAGAGACGCCCCAGGGGAAAAATTTAAAGAAGGTATTTTAAGAAGCCTAAAATGGTTTGTACTAGGGCTGTCAAGCAATTAAACAAATTAATCGTGATTAATCACACTGTTAATAATAGAATACCATTTATTTAAATATTTGTGGCTGTTTTCCACATTTTCAAATATATTGATTTCAATTATAACACAGAATACAAAGTCTACAGTGCTCACCTTATATTTATTTTTATTACAAATATTTATACTGTAAAAACCAAGTTTTTTTCAATTCACCTAATACAAATACTGTAGTGCAATCTCTTTATCATGAAAGTTGAACTTACAAATGTAGAATTATATACAAAAAAAACTGCATTCAAAAAAAAAATGTAAAACTTTACAGCCTACAAGTCAACTCTGTCCTATTTTGTGTTCAGCCAATCGCTCAGACAAACAAGTTTGTTTACATTTGCAGGAGATAATGCTGCCTGCTTCTTGATCACAATGTCACCTGAAAGTGAGAACGGGTGTTCGCATGGCACTGTTGTAGCCAGCATCGTAAGATATTTACGTGCCAGATGCGCTAAAGATTCATATGTCCCTTTGCGCTTCAACCAACATTGCAGAGGACATGGGTCCATGCTGCAGACAGGTTCTGCTCGATAACAATCCAAAGCAGTGCAGATCGACTGAGTCAAATGCCACCAGCAGAAGGTCGATTTTCTTTTTTGGTGGTTCAGGTTCTGTAGTTTCCACATTGGAGTGTTGCTTTTTTAAGACTTCTGAAAACATGCTCCACACCTCATCCCTCTCAGATTTTGGAAGGCACTTCAGATTCTTAAACCTTGGGTCAAGTGCTGTAGAAATCTCACATTGGTACCTTCTTTGTGTTTGTCAAATCTGCAGCGAAAGTGTTCTTGAAATGAACATGTGCTGAGCCATCATCCGAGACGTCTATAACATGAAATATATGGCAGAATGCGGGTAAAACAGACCCAGAGACACACAATTCTCCCCCAAGGAGTTCAGTCTCAAATTTAATTAACGCATTATATTTTTAACGAGCGTCATCAGCATGGAAGCATGTCCTCTAGAATAGTGGTTGAATCATGAAGGGGCATATGAATGTTAAGCATAGCTGGCACATAGATACCTTGTCGTGCTGGCTACAAAAGTCCCATGCGAATGCCTCTTCTCACTTTCTGGTGACATTGTAAATAAGAAGTGGGAGCATTATCTCTGGTAAATGTAAACAAACATGTTTGTGTTAGCGAGTGGCTGAACGATAAGTAGGAGTGAGTGGACTTGTAGGCTCTAAAGTTTTACATTATTTTGTTTTTGAGTGCAATTAGGTAACAAAAAAAATCTACATTTGTAAATTGCACTTTCACGATAAAAAGATTGCACTACAGTACTTGTATGAGGTGAATTGAAAAATACTTTATCATTTTTGCAGTGCAAATATTTATAATAAAAACAATATAAAGTGAGCAGTGTACATTTTATATTCTGTGTTGTAATTGAAATCAATATATTTGATAATGTAGAAAAACATCCAAAAATATTTAATAAATTTCAATGGGTATTCTATCGTTTAACAGTCCAATTAAAACTGCGATTAATCATGATTAATTTTTTAAATCAAGATTAATATTTTTAATTGCGTAAGTTAACTACGATTAATCAACAGCCCTAGTTTGAATGTGAAAAGAAATAAGTCTAGATGTGTGTGTTGCAACTTAAAGGATCATCCTAACTTTTAGTTTAATATCTTTCCTCCCCACATTGAGAAACTTGGTGCTTCTCTTTTTTATGCCACTACTCTCAAATCATTCTAGAAGGAATAAGAAATCAAATATCATATTCAGCTCTACACAGTCAGAACATGTAAAATTTTAATTTGGAGGCAGCCACTAGCAAAGAGAGGTAGAAGTGGTCAT